TGTACTGTACGTTGAGGTAGTTGGTTTGTTAGTTGTAGTAGATCGTACCGTAGAAGAAGTACGTAAGTAGTAGTTAGTAGTGTCTAATTAAATAATAACAACATTTTGGTGTTATAAGGTCGTTTATTTCTGGTATAAATATATATATGTTCTTAACATTAATATATAACAGACAATCCATTCAGTCATTTAAAAAATGTTATTGAAAATACTGAAAGTCAAGAAAATTTATACATTAAAAAATAATAGGCTAAATTAACAATGATATCAAATACAGTTCCTCTATTATTAAAAGCTATACTTGAAATTTGCATCATATGTTTTTTAATCTGATGCATATTTTACATGAGATTAAAAAATATAAATAATAAGAATACAATACTTTTCAGAAAAAGTGAGAAGGAAGCTAATTGAAAATTAAGTTCTCCAGTAAAATAATATCAAAATATCTTGTAGCAAAAATAAAGACAGTATTCTTTTAATTTATTGTCAAAACCGTAAAATCAATTCTCACTTAACAAAATATCTGTAGAGCTGTAAACATTTTAAAAGCAATAAGTCATATAACCAGTCAAAATATTATTTTGCTAAAATTGATTAAGCATTATTTGAGAGATCATATAGTTTTGAAAAACTGGATAAAAATTAAAATGTGATTTACACAAGTAAGAAAATCTAATTTTACAACAGATGTCAGTTAACACAAATTTTACAAAGAAAAAAAAATTCTTATAGCTAATAAAAGCTACTGAAAAATTAGAAAGCCATAATCAAAAGGACAATTACTCAAGTGTTCTTACATTCAACAGTTAGAAGGCCTACACTTGAGGCTTCTCCGCCCGAGTTGATAGCTACACACTTATAAGTGCCTGCATCTTCCAGGTAAGCTTCATGGATAACAAGAGAACATTTATCACCTTCAAACAATAACTGTATGTCGTTGGACTCTTTCACCGGTTTCTCGTTGTGATACCAAATCACCTGTCAGGTAAAATAACATTTCATCCTCAAACATAAAAAATCTAGCAATAACAAATCCTACTCTAAAACTTTATATCACACACTAACAATGTAAATTATGTACACATGAAAATTATCAAATAAAGAAATAACAATTAGTTACCAACAGCCATTTTAGACCAATAAATGTTCAAATTAGCTGGTACCTTTAACGTTCGTTAATGATGTCAGAAAACACGTAGGTTCAAGAAGTCTTAATACAAGATGATAAAAACCCTATAACCCGAGCACTTTCAAAAGCTTTCAATTCATAGGGTTTTTATCATCTTTTAGTGTTCATTTAATATCCTTGCTACTGAAAATTACATGCACAACTTAAAAATTTAAAATAAATCAAAAGCTAAAAACTACTTTATTGCAAGTAAAAGTACCTATTTTAATTCATACAAAAAAGTACATCTGTGCATTTTATTTTTTTTAATTCAAAGATACAAATTTGGTAAAAAATTCTTAATCTATTTGCCAATTTTGCATATGGAATTCTCATATTCTGTAACAAAATGTTTTTTTACAAGAAAGGAACAAAAAACAACAACAAAAAACAGTACAAAAATAAGATCATATTACAGTCTAGATGAAATAGTTAACTTAATACATGAATAAATATCTTTTTTTACAGTAAATGAATCATACAATGATTCTCTTAACAGTAAGCTTGAAATAAGACTATTTAATGCTTGATCCGTTAGATTTTCTATCATTATTATAAAAATTAATTCATAATTTACACATTACTTCTGGCATTCAGTACTGGATAAAAAAAACTATTTAAGTAAGTTTAGATGTGTAAAAATTTTAACATGTATTCAAAATTAAGAGGTAAAAAAACATTCACATACTGTCAAAATTTAAGACATTTCAGTTTACAAATATATATGAAAAATACAAATGGATTTGACAAAACTATTAACTATTTCAAGATATAGTGAACAAATAATCAAGAACTAAAATAAATCCCATGTTAAAGCTCACCTCTGGTTCTGGTTGTCCAACAATGATACAATCCATCCTAACTGTACTTCCTTCTCCAACAGTGAGATTCTTCAGTGGCTGCATAACTTTTGGCTTCACAGGCTCCATATCTGAAGCTAATTCTGAATCGCTGCAGTGAAAGTATACTCAAAATGTTAGATTGTAAAACAGACTGAAAAAAAATTAACCCTATCCAAACTGGTGAGCACCTTTTAGGGGTCAAGTGCTCACCTACATACCAAATTTCAAAATTTAAGTACAAATAATAAGTCTACTTCTATTTGGACTCAAAAGATATATTAATAGTGATACTTTATCATTTCTTAACATAATTTGCAAAGGAAACTGAAAAAATGTTTCAGCACAACTCTGAGAAGTCTTGCCTGTAAACAATGCACTTATAGTTTTCTTTTATAATTTTTCTGCACATCATCTTCATTCACATTCTTTTATGGCACAGCATGTGATTTGAATAACTACTAATGAAGCTCGGCTTTGAAAACAACTAAGGCAAAGTTTAAATACCATTGGATAGAGCAGATTATAAATAATTTTTGTCAATGTAGAGTGAATAAAGTGACAAGACCAAGCACCTGCAAGGACAAACAAAAGAATATAATGGGAAGTTTAAAATACTTAGGAATAAACCACAGATCTGGGAATTGTGTATAGTTTATTTACACGTTGTTTTTACTTCTGAAAATGTTTACGAGTTACATTATATCTGTTTGAAAGCTATGAAAATTTTTTTTCTATCACAAGATATCAGAAAAGGTTAGTTAGGTTTAGAGAGTACAATAGGTGATAGAAAAATATTGTGATGGTTAAAGTCCTTATTTATTGTATATTATGGTTAAATTTACCGTATCCAAATGATACACACAAAGAGTGTATTACTTATAAAAAAAAAACTATATTTATTACATATAAGTTGATTTCAACCAACAATACTGTGAGGAAAAATATTGTTACTTAGCTTGACAAAGGTAACAGTGACCCATTTTGAAGCAATCAATCAATGATAAATATTTGTCAGTTTTTTATGATTCATAGCTGGAAATGGTGACTACTGCAATCAGCAAAATAAACCATCAAAAGATATATCAATAACACAAAACTAGTTTGTTATATAAAAGTAAAAAATTTAAACTGTAGGATGCAAAGAACTATTCTTAATTTTTTTTTTTTCACAACAGTGTCTCACAACAAAATTGTGAGAATTTCACAATACAAAAATTGATAGAAAAACTGAATAATAATATAAAACTTTAAAGTAAAAACTAGATGGTATTTATAAATTTGGATACAACTGATATCAAAAGATATCAATGATACTCCTCTGGTCTTGAAAATGTTAATATCTCAGCAATACTACCTGAATATAGTTTTAAGAAATACCGCTCACCAACACTGTAAGTGATAGTGTAATTATATGCACTTTTTCATTGTTAAACTGTTGAGTTGGATTACATTATTAAGTTTATACTAAGAGAGTGTCCCAAAGTCCAGCCTCATAACCACAAATAAAACACATAGTAGTTATACTGTGTAGATCCCCATCCATGCCAAAATGAACTTCCAGTTATTCCAACACTCCTGATGGAAATGACATAACACAATTGTTTTTTTACCAGTCGTTAGAATATTCTATAACACGGGTAAAATAGTTCTAATTTAGTCAGGCCGACATGGCCAGTTGATTAAGGCTCTTGACTTGCAATCTCAGGGTTGCAGGTTCAAATCACCATCCCACCAAACACACTCGTCCTTTCAGCCCTGGGGTATTATAATGTGATGGTCAATCCCACTATTCATTGGTAAAAGAGCAGTCCAAGAGTTGGCAGTGGGGGGTGATGACTAGCTATCTTCCCTCTAGTCTTTTACTGCTAAATTAGGGACAGCTAGTGCAGATAGCCCTCGTGTAGTTTTATGTTAAATTCACAACAAACCACAATCAATTCTAGCCTAAGCTAAAAGTTTTAAAAGCTAGAAATTGGTTAAACACCTTCTATCAACAATTGAAATACAAGTAAGTAATCTGACATCAATATGCAAGTTAAAATGTTTTAAATTGTCTTGGAACTCCAATATTTCATATTTTTTGTATTTTTTCTAAATTTATACTTGCAACTTTTGTTTAGATAGCTCTTTGTATTTATATGTTAAAAGCTTAAGATATCTTGATTAACTTCCTCTGAAATTTGCATTTGAAATTAGTCATTTTAGTTAACCTGGGATTGATTTATTGACAAAATGGGGTTTTTAATGTCTAAAGCTTGAGTTAAAACATAAGCTATAGGTAGGAATGGATAACTTTAATAAATAAATCAGCTACAGAAAGTGGACCTTGCATGGCCTGGTTATTATGGATCCTGACTCAAAATTTACAGGTCATGGGTTTGATTATCATCACTGAACGTACTTGCCTTTTCAGCAATAGAGGCATTATAACATGAAAGTCATTCCCACTTTTCCTTACTAAAGAGTAGCCCAACAGTTGGTAGTGAATGGTGTCAACTAGCTGCATTTTCTCTAGTCTCTCACTTCTAAATTAGGTACAGCTAGCACAGATAGTCCTCAAATAGCATTGCACAAAATTCACCAAGCAAGCAACAATATAGAAAGAACTAGTATTTAAAATTATTCGTTTCCCTTTACATTAAATCATGGAATTAACTAACAGTTAAAAGCACATACATGTTTGGTTTTATTTGATCATTCTAGTGATAACTGCTGGGGAAGAAAGCTATTTTACACTTGTAAAAAAAGATTGATAAATTCAGTAAGAATCATATTTAGAAAATAAATATGCTTACATGCTCACATACAACTCATTTGCCTCTATAATCTTTAACTCTTTCAACATGGGCTCGGTCAATTTGACTGACCACTTGACCTCGTTGTACTCGTTTAAAGTCTTTATAGATTTAGTACTTCTAACTTTCAATATAGTGTGTATATCTTCACAAGATTTGGCAATCTTTCAGTTAATATTATAAGTTTTTCACATATGAAAAATCATATTTTTTAGTGAAGTATTTTTAATAAAATACAATAAAGGTTTGTCTATGAATATATTGAGTATTTGTTTTGAATAGTTCATGTTCAAATTAATTTTCTTGTTAAAAATAAAAATACTTTTCCTCATCTCAAAAATCTCAAATTTCCTTTGTGTAATCCCCAAACCCTCCTATATGCATTTGAAACTTTTTTTTTAGTAAAACCTTATAGTTTATCTGTTATTTTCTCTACCCTATCTCAAAATGGGAACGGTCAATTCAACTGACCTCATAACCGCAAAAAAAAATCGAAATAAATCTAAAATACCTTTTTTTTCTTTCTAGAATGACTACAAATTGTAACGTGACACTACACTTATTTATCTTAAGTAGCTCTAAGTTCATAATAATATACATCTAGTTATAATTAAATTTTATTGTTTTATTGCCCTTTGAACCATGTATAACTACTATCTGCACCATTATAAGTTGTAAATCACTCAAGGAATGTGCAGCTCACGTTGCACTAATGAATTACATTACCCACACGCTGCTCGCGTGTGTTTCTCATGAAACATTTTTATTATAATATATTATTATATTTTACCTAATCTAATCTTAAGAAATTAAAAAGGATCCCTATTTTTACATTTTAGTTACTTTTATAATTATACATAAAGAATTAACATGAAAAACAAGAAGTAAGATACTTAACCAATCTTCTTTTTTCTTGCCGTCAGTTTTCGAAGAGAGTTAATGCTAATTTTTTATACTAATGATAGTAATGCACTTAATAATTTTTATCTAATTAAATAATTAGAAATCTTCTGAATTTCTAACTATGTGACAAGAGCCATTACAAATTCTTCCAAGCTCGTGGTTAACTTTCCCATACGAACAATGGTGGTACTCTGAGTGAAACTGACATATAACTGTTCAGAACTTAATGTTATATGCTACGTCATTTGATAGATAAAAACCTTGACTTTATATTGCTTATAGGTAATATATATATATATAATGAAATGGAAGAGAGAACTATCAACGAATTCTGACAGAAAAGATGTGATAGGTGGGTGTGGCAGGAAGGGGTCTGATTTTCTAATCGATAGCTCTGTAAGCAAACAAAAGTGAAGACTATAAAAATTATGGTTTGTCTGAGCAATTACAGTTTTATAGAGAGTAATTTACGCTTAATTTTGTACATTTTCCAGGGGTGGTGAATAAAATAGGGATGATGACATGCTAAGAGAAAATGTGTCACGTGGGTCACACTAGGATATTGAACTTAAAACTTGTATACTATTCAAATATGGATTATGAGCTAAGATTTTAAGCTATTCTACTTGGTATAACATAAATAAAAATTTGTTTAATAAAATTTTGAATGTAAGACACTAAAACCTTGTGTCATGCGCAGTAAAAGATACCTGTGGCAATAGGGTTAACTAATGTAAAATAAAAATGAAGGCTGCTTTCCTCAAGCTGATCTGGTGATAATTAGCTATGAATGAAATCTTTATAGCAGTAACCTTAAGATACTTGCACAGATGCAGTCACTCTCTTATTTCCTATCAATCTCACCCAAACTGATTGAAAATTTATCAATAAACAGAATCTACATCATTGAAAAATATAATATGTTACTATGGTAACTTAAGCAATTTCATAGGCATACAACAGAACAGATAAAAACATAACCCTCTGAGTTTGATAAGCTAGTAAGTCCAGAAACCTTAATTCTGCAAACAGTGTCTCAAGAGAAACTTACATTATGTAATACCCTCAATAAGTTCTACTTACGAAGTTTCCATAGGAAGTCGTCCTTTTACTGACACATTACACGATGATGTGGCTTCTCCAGCCTGGTTTTTAGCAACTGCCATGTATGTTCCAGCATCTTTGGGAAAGGCTTCTATGATGACCAATGTTGCTTTGTTGCCATCATAATGCATCTATTTATAACAGGTTATAGAATATCAAAAGTAAATTCATACACATCACAATTAAAATTATTCAACAGTCTTTTGTTTACTTTACAACTATATATCTACAACATCAAGAAACATTAACAATTAAGATTTGTCTAGAGTAAAAAGGTTAACAATTAGGATCTGTTTATAGTAAAGGTTAACAATCAGGATGTCTACATTAAAGGATAAAACTCAGGATTTGTCAAACATAACGCCAGAAACAATATTATTGTAAACATTTTCAACCACAGTCATTCTGGATAAAAATGTTAACATTTTTAAGCATTACATCATTTTTATATATTAAAATTTTACTAATAAAATGGTTTTTAACCCACACACATATATATACCTCGATGTTAGGCTTTGATTTTGCCACAGAAAACTCTCTTATATAGATCACATCTCCATGTATTATAGCATTTACATGATTTTGTGGTATATCAGCATATATTTTTAATACTATCAGCTAGTTAACATTCGCTATTTTTTTAATATATCATGTATATAAGCATTGTTTTTTAATGTCAAATATTATACATAAACGGCTTTTAGAGAATTGTACACATACACATATAACCAAGCATTTTTTGTCATTCTAGAGTTTCTAGAAAATATAAGCTTCAGTTTACAATAATTTTTGAGCAAAAAAATTGCCCTTTTTTTGCAAAAATAAAATTTCTATTTTAAAATATATATATCTCATTTGATTCAGAAATCAAATGTATCTAATAACTGATCTACTGATGTTCAGTTATTTGAAATGGATACAGAAATATTGTTTGCTCAAGCTTTCGAATTCAGTTCTTGGTCTTTACCTCTCTGTTAGTGATAGGTTTTCCATTATGGAGCCAAGACAGCACAGGTTCTGGTTGACCATGCACTCTACATTCTAGTCTGAGCTTCTGTCCAGCACGAGCCATCACGTTTGATAAAGGTGTAAGAAACTTGGGGAGTTCAACTGCTTCTAATGCTAACAAACATAAAAAAAAACAATTAAAGTTAAATATCTACAAAATAATCACCAAATTCTTAACATATTCAAAAAGAAAGTTAATGTTAAAAATAGAAAAAGTTGAACTGAAATCACGAATATTAATCATTTATCAGATTCAAAATTATCCCAGTGATAATTCAACATTTTCATAAAATATTGTAAGCTTTAGTCTTGATATCTATATGTCATCATGGTCAAAAATTCTATTCCAGTGCAAGAGCTTTTGGTAATTACTTATTGATTAATTCTCTAATATTTTTTATCCTTTGCCTTTCTGTAAAACAAACATAACTTAGAGCAATGAAAGCATTTCTATTAACTGACTCAAAAAATTACAAAGCTCATTACTTCAATGTCTTTCATTTACACATATACTTTTCCCAAAGAAACAAAAATAATGTTTATGATACACATTCATGTTTAAGAGAGTAATTTCATCACTCCATGAAAATAAAAGATGTATTTTTTTTTCTAAGTATTGTCATTTCATTTTTGAACATTTTGTGCTCTTTCATAAAAAACAATAACATTTCAAATTTGTTAAGCTGCTGATCTGCAGATATGGAATAATGATGTGAAGGAAGTCCAATTCTCTAAAATAAGGGTATATTGCAGTCATTCTACAGTAATGTCAGAGGTATTGTATGTACAATAAGAATGTTGTAGGGGAATTTCTTGTAATGTTTGGCAAATTACTTCTGAGCTATAAAAAACTTCTATATCCTTACAAAAACAAAATTTAACTTCAAACATATTTTTCTGCTTACGTTTTACAGTCAATTTTGCACTGCAAGCAACCTGTCCAGCCTGATTAGCAGCACGACAGGTATATCTTGATTCATCTTCTAGATAAGCCTCTTCTATTTTCAAAGTACATTGCCCATTGTTGTATGTGATGGCATAATCAGGAGAATTGTCAATACAGACGTCATTTTTAAACCAGGAAACAAGAGGGAGAGGATTACCAACAACCACACATTCAAACTGGAAAGATTTCCCTTCCTGAACAACCCCATCCTGCAATTCTTGGGTAAAGTGTGGAGGAATCAATTCTTCGTGTGGCCTCGACTCTGAAAAAGACATTGGCAAATGCTGTAGAGGGATTGTTAATGCTTCTGCAATAAAAACTATAAAAAAATGGAATGAATGAAAAGTTTAAAGTAGAAAGCAAGACAAGTTTTAGGATTTTTGTAATGCAAAATTACAGTGATAATCTGTGAAATAGCAAAGTCTACTTTTATTCTGTTATGTTTTTTTTTACCATTCGTTTATTATTCCTTTTGTTTAGTTCAACTATGAACTGTTAGTTGTATTAAAATGCTTACTCACCTTCTAGCTAGAGAAAGTTGAATTTGAGTATGTTTGTATTATAAAACTGACACAAGCTTTTCCTAGCAGTGATGAACAGATATTAATGTTGTGAAAGATTATATAAATTAGCTAGTCACATGAGATGCCACCTTGTGGTCTAACCACTAAATAACAACCTTTCCTTGATCTTAGATGAGCAAGAGATATAGATGGAATGAATTATTGCTGACTGTTGTTCGATATTGTTATTGATCTTGAGAAGTGGTTTAATTTTAGGAATTAGGATTTTTTCTTCTTTTAGTTCTTTTTCCTAATCCCTCTATTTATCAAAAGTAATAACATTGATATTTATGTTGTATTGTTTTTTAATGTTTGCATCAAGTTCTGGGCAGACACGGATTTACTAACTGCTTTATTTTTGTAAGTAATAACACTTGTATTCCAATTGTTTGAAAATCTTATTTTCGATTTCTGCTGTTTTTACACTTTAATAAATTGTTTTTTGTTTGACCCTGGTTGTAGCAGTGTTTTGTTTTAGTCCATTACAAACCTAACCTCATATTACAAACATTATTTGACAGTTGTTTACAAATTAAATACTATATATTAAGGTAGCTCTGTTAAATGTAACTGCTGAAAGTCACAGAAGGAAAGCTACCACAATATCTAGCATCACGGGTAAGTTTTCAAATAAAAAGAAGCATTGTTAAATGAATCAAAGATGTACAACTGTGAACCCTTGCATGGCAAAATAAAGAAAAATTTAATTTTGTCATCACAATAATTTCTATTACAATTTTGAATAGTTAAAGTATACTTGAGGGCTATATGCTCATTTCTAAAATGTATAAAGTTCACTGAAATAAAAATTTGATTTCCTAGTTGTTAGAAAATTTCACCTAAGTACACATGAAAAACATCAAAGAAAGGAGACTTACACGGAGTTCTGTTTTTATTTTGAAAAATAAAATTTATATTTAAAAATAACACACTTTAGATTTCATGCTATAAGTTTAGGCAGCTATTTATAAGACTTTATTTAGAGTTAATAAACTTGTAATATTTCAATTCTATATTATAAAACTTTGTGAAATCATTTTGCAATTTGAATAAATTGTACTATGAGATTTTACTTAATATTTTAACAATGCAGAGACTTTCAGATTACACAATTCTAGAAAAAGTAAATAGTGGTAATTTGGTTTTATTCTAGATTAATAATATGTGGCTTACCATTGACTGTCAGTAATCCCTGGGTTTCTGCCGTCCCTGCAGGATTCACGGCTTTACAGGAGAAGCGTGCAGAATCTTCAGTGAATGTTTCCTCAATTGTCAGAGTACACATTCCATCTATATAAGTTGTCTGATAGTCTGGGTTGTTTTGAATTAGTATACCATCCTTAAACCACTGGACCTAGAACACAAAATGTATAATTCACAGCAGATTAGAATAAAATGGTAAACTGTATGTAATGTTAAACATGTGCAACTCTTTGAGACACAAAAACATAAAAAATACAGAATGATAGTTCCTATTCAAACAGTGATAATTTCAAAATACTGCTTAATAACTAATTCAGTATATTATGTTAAAGAGGTAAAACTTATAACATTGAAGGATAATGTATTTTTTAATTATGTAATAAGACATAGTGATAAAATTCAACTTTTTTTTTCCCCAAGTTAAAATAACGTAGCCTAAGGGACTGTCAAACATGAAGGATATGGAGATGTTAAAACCTTCTCTTCTCATTTACCATCCCACAAAATACAAATGAAAAACTAGGTGGATACTGCATATTTCAATTACATTTTTCTTACATTATGCTTCAATGCTTCAAATTTCCATAATTTCTGATAGACAAAAAAATCACTAAGAATATTTCTATCACATCTACACTATTCATCCACCTTCAAATATGCTTTGCAATCATAATACATCACAATTTTTTAAACTGCTAATCACACTCAGATTCTTATTTCAAAATTGATGAGTTCCAGCAAAACAAAAACCTACAAAACCATTTTTAGGTTTACAAGCATTAAGGTCTCATTAAACACTGTGATAGTAATCTTTATTTCTTATGCCCTAGAAAAGAGTAAAATATCAGTTGATCTTGACCTCCGATTACATAAAAAATAGTGTCTATCAAGAAAGTTATAAATATTTAACTTGTGTTATTATAAGTATTCTGTAAATAAATAAATCACCATTCCCAAATGCATCTATTTTTGTTACCAGAAAATGGTAAAAAGATACTAGCACAGCATGTATCATCTCATATTACATAAATAAAAACGTAATTACTTTTTGTACTGGAAATAAAATTCAGTCTCCATATGAAAAACACATTCACAGTGACCCTATATTGAGATACTCCTATCATTAACTAATTAAATCAATCAAAATCAAAATGTGGCTACAAACAGTTTGTGGTGATGACAATTTCCTCATGGAAAACAACATAATAATATGCAACCACATATTGATCAATTAACACATCGTTAAGTTTAAAATAACTTTAAACCCACATTGCATTTGCTTATAGAGTATAAGAGGCCTTGTTTTATCAAAGCATTTTTTTGTTTGTCCAACAAAAATATATAAACAAAAACACTAAAGCTTATTGTTTAACTTTAATCTACTCAGGATTTTCTAACCTATACAGCAGTACTCAGTTTGGAATAGTTATATCACTGAAAGAACTCTCATTTCATTGTAATTCAGAAAACTTTCTTAAAACAATACTATAGAATATAAGATACAAATCTGATTAAAAAAGCTTCCTTCCAACTGCTTCATTTTTAATTTCATCAACAATTAAGTTTTGTATTTGGGTATTAAATTTTGTTTTATTAACTTGGTTACCTCATGCATTTATTTTTGTTAAAGTTTTTTTTTATTTTTTACTATCACATGCAACTAAGTAAAACATTTACATTCCACATTTTTACTAAATAACAATTCTCTCTCTCTCTCTAAGAAAAAATATATTAAGCAACCGTGATACCTCGAGGGGGTGGAAAACCCTCAACTTGGCAAATAAATGTATATTTTGATCCTTCCATTACTTCTGCATCGATGAGAGGAGCAACAAATACTGGTGCTTTGGGTCTTGGAACCTCAGCTAAAAACTGCAATGGTTTAGTTATTTCAATGTGGGCATTCTGAGTTTCTGTGGGTATGGGAACTGCCTCTTGTTGGTCAATAGTCACTTTCTCAAATGGCACTGGCTTCACAGGAACAGCCTTAGCTGCAGCTTGGGCAGCTCTAGCAGCCTCTTGGGCAGCAGCAGCTGCAGCTTTGGCAGCTGTTGCTTCAGCCTGTGCAGCTTTTACTGCAGCATCAGCTTCCTCCTGTAAGAACGTTGTGTTTGTAACACCTCTTCTTTTTGATAGTAAATTATTAAACATGTTTAAGCTAACTGACAGCAAGACTAGCAGATTGTCAAGATCAACACACCAGGTGTGTAGGTGAAAATTATGAATGCACTAGAACTTATCTTACGTTAAGTTCAGGATGTTTGTGTAATGGATTGGGTTTGAGGATAAAGCACAATGCCTGATGGAATAAACTGAAGATGAAAAAAACCATTAAATACTCGTTTTTCTAGATCGAAATATTGTCTAAATATAGATCTCCATAAAATGTTAGTATGCATAAGTATGAATGACTGAAAAACACATCTTTTACATATAAACTTCAAAAATGAATGGATAAAAATCAGTTTCATTGAATTTTTACTATTTTATACCTTTTTTCATAATTGAAACAATTGTTTTATTTCAGGTCCTATTTCATGATAATAATGAACAACACGGTATCTTTAGTTCAGTATTTTACATGTATTCACTATTCTTATAGATATGAAGAGAAATTTCTAGAGAAAAGCTATAGTTTGATGTTAAGTATTAAAAAAAGACACTGTGTACAGTAAAAACTAGCAAAGTGCTGATGATAAAATAGCAAGGAGCTGGAGGTGAAAAAAAATAAAACATCAAATAATTGAAAACCAAAACTTACTATTAAAAAAAACAAACTGTCTTGAAAGCTGAAAATTATAATTACTTCTTGATTTTTTTATAGCAAAATCATATACATAAATGCTACTTGCATAAATCTTCTGACTGTTATAGTTTTAAATGTATCTATTACTTCTAACCTTTTCTTTCTTTTGCCTTTCTCTTTCCTGTTCTGCTTCTTTCAGGCTCTCTGACAAGCTTGACAATTCATCATTGATGACTGAGAAGGATTCCAACATTTCCTTGTTTTTCCCTGAAACCTGCTGCATACTGATTGGTGTACGATCCACTCCTGCCAAAAGACAATTAAACCATTAGCAGTACAATATTTTACTCTTTTGGTCGAAGGTATCAGAAAAATTGATCAAAGACCGATGTGTTAAACATATATGATAAAAGTGAACTAATATTTTGATTATATGTGTTATCTAAACTATTGTACACTAAGTAAGTTTAAATCATTTTTTAACCAGGGAAAAAAACTTAATAAAAGAAACTTTGGAAATAACTCCATGATGTATTTACGGAATGCAAACTTTAGTTATGAGCTTTTCATCAGGCTCTTGAAAACTAGAAAATGCAACATTTGAGTTCAATTAAAACATTACGAGGTTAGTACAATAATTTATTTTATTATTGTATACTAAGGTTTAGTAAACCCTATTTTTGAAGAGGAGCAAATTATCTTTATTGAACCTATTGGATGGATTTAGTGTTTCATTCAAAATTATGATAAATAAATGTGTTAGTATAAAATATATAATAAATACTAAGATCTTTTTTTTATGAAGCTATTAAATAGTTAGGTCAATTTTTCAAAGAATTAAATAATTTTTGTTTCAAAATTGCATCTTTCTTAGTTACTTCTTAACTTTAAGTTGATTAAATTTCAAAGATGTGATTGCTGAGCTGCATTATGAAATATGGGAATCACAATGTCAACTTTTTGTAACAAAACATATATAAATATATACATGTGTGTGTCTGTTTTGCATATAACTACAAGCAACAGTCTTCATCCGTTACTTTTATTCTAAACATTTTTCATTAATGTCATTTGTAATTGTAAATCTTTATTGATACTACTCTACTTCTACAGGTTTGAGGAAAATTCTTATTTCAATAAAACAAAAATCAACTTGATGTAAACATAATACATTTATCTATAAAGTTCTCACCATAAAGCTGTATAGCTAATGTTGATATTTTACGTAGCCTTTCATCTTGCTTGACTTCTCCAGGTTTGAGGAAATTTCTTACTTCTTCAAGAAGGGTGTTAGCATCATTTGGAGACTTACAGCTTGTAGACTTACGAGCAATAGAGACTAAAATTGTGCTTCCCTCTTTGAACCATTCATCTGCCTACAATGAATCATATAGATCTTGCATAAATGGTGTTAACATAGTAAAAGCACTCAACTAGGTATAAATTTTGAATTATTTTTCTGATGTCAAATTAATGAAACTTTCTAATCATGTGATATTTACAGCCATAAAATAAAATTTTCAATCATAAATCGTCATCAGATGAGTTGAGAAAAATATCTTACAGCTACTAAAAAATTATTTAAATTTTGTATTATAGAAATTTTCCAAAATAAGACTTGGCTTAGCAGTAGAAGTTTAGACTGTCAGTCAGATATAAAGCAAACTGATATGAGTAAGTATAAAGCAAAAAGTCACTTTCAAAGTGTTCACAAAGATCTTTTGATTTTTAGCTCTATATTACATGATTTTGTAATATCTTTACAAAAAAGATCATACCAATAACAGTCTATGCCAAAATTTTCTACTTGTCTTTTTTATCTAAAATTAATTTAAAGTTAATTTTTACACAGAACAAGTTCATTTGAATTATTCCCATTTACAAAAATCTCCAGATGTTTAAATGAGTGGAAGTAACAGCTCACCTCTTCTATCAAACTGAAGTACTCTATGGACAGATCAATGAGACGACGATTTTCGCCAATATTCATATGAAAAGTTGACCACTTGTTTTGAAGTGAATGGATTTCTGTTTTAATATGACTTGACTCAGCATGTTGATCAAGAAGCATTTTCTCTGCTGTACTGATGAAAGTGTGTATTCGCTTCTCCAGAAGCTGTTCAGTGTTACCAAAATTATTAATTTTAAAAATTTCAAACATAAAAAGAAGAAGTTAATCTGTAAATACATTTTTTATTTATTCAGTTTATTAATTACGACATCTAAACATTTTTGTTTATCTAACAATGTAGAAAGCACATCTAGGGCAACTCTGCTGAAATAGCTAAGTTTTAAAAATTGGCAACATAAAAATTAAAATTGCATCTAAAACAAACTTAACACTAAAAACGTTTTTAAATTTACATTTCATTCAACTTTTACATGAAAATCACGGGAAAACAAACATTATGATTTATTTGCTTTGCCAATTTTTAGTGGCAATATTCCATCATTCCTGGAAAAGTAGTTCATCTTTTAAAATTTCCAACTCATGATAATGTTATAAGTTATGTTATAAATATATTTAAAGTTTACAAGAAATTATGTTTTTAACATATTTCCATATGATGCAATGTTTAACTTTAATAATTCATTGTTATTAAAGTACTATATTTTTGGACTGCTTGGTAATATTGAAAAAAATTAGAAACAGCTTAATCTGCAATACAAACATAGTAATTCAATTTCATAGAAAAGTTAAAAGCTTTTAGTTTGTCAGCTAAAAAGATGTAAATTACATCATTATTGCTTTAAACCTGAAAGTACACTACTATCACTGTTTTATAAAAACGTGGATCCCATGAAAAATTTCACAATCATTATATTCAAACAAGGATTAAAAAGCATGGCCTATAGTGCATGATATTTTCATGTTATCTTTGGAAAAGGAGAGAGAACATGTTATGTTACCTCAATTGTCTTTTCAAATTGTACAAATGCTTGGGAAGTTGCTTTAGCTCCAGGTAAGGACTCTCCGTAGTTTCCACGCATGTCTTCCAAGTGTTTGCTTAGTTCAGATAACTGGTAGTTAATCTAAGGTTAAAAAGAGCAGGTTGTTTGTTTGGAGGTTAATATAATTTCAAATATATGTGATGGCAAGTATAAACACATTCTAGTAACCCAATTTCTTTTAAACAATACATGTAATAAAACACTTTTTTTTATTATTGTATATACTTATAATGGTAGACTTTTAAATAAAATGCAAATTATTCACAAAAATATTGCTTTAATAAACATAAAATAGTATTAAAACCAAAGAAAAAATTTAACTTCATTGTTATTTTTGTCTCTAATTCACATAGTTTTATAGAAATTAACAGGTGCCATGAGAAGATTGATTGTTACATATAATTTACAAATTTAATGAAACAAGTGTTTGATAAAAACCTCACCTGTTGTAGATCTCTATTAAATAAACAAAACTGATGATGTTGCTCAAGTTTTCTTTTATGCTCTTCCCACACCGTTTCAAAACGTTTTTTACGTCCATCTACCATCCTTATTTTTTCTGTGTCTTTTGGTGCAACAAGTAATGGTTCCTACATAAAAAGTACATACTTTTATATTTATCACCAGCAGAATCATTTTCTCCCATGTAATTTTTTCTTTAACAAATAAATTAGAAGTTAATGAAAATACTCACAAAAAGAATTCTTTTAAGAGCAAATATTTTGTACTGGCATATAACTTTGTAAATAAAACAATTATGTAGTCTTAAAGAGACCAATAATATAACTTCAAGTGATAACAAACACTGAACTGCAAATTCAAAATTCTGCAAAAAGAAAACATTAATTATAAACATTTTTGGCATTGCTTATGGGTTAAAAATGTAGTAATGAGTTACTAGAAAAATATATTTGAAGATGACACTTATGGAGTTTTTCAGTACTTTTAACTCACCATTTAGAAACTAAATTAATTTAGGTAAGTGAATAATATTGTAGCATTGTGGCAAATTTATTATTTGGTATTATACAACAGATCAACTGTTTGATGATGACAAAACATATTTCTTTTCTTTCACTGAAGGTAAAATTGAAAATATAATCTGTGACATATAGGCCTAATATATTATTTGATTTCCCTTACTTTATGCTGTAGACTGCAGTTTTGCCTACAAAAGCCAGCAAATCAAAGAAATACAATAAGGTCTCTTAGAATAGTAATGTGTATATAACATTTATGGAATTTTTAAGTCCTTTTAATTAACCATTTATTAAAAGCTATTAAAAACTCACCACTTGAGAGATCTTATTGATTACTTGTTGAGCTTCATTAGCAGTAAACTTGAAAAGTTCTAGAATTGTTGGTTTACTAGCATCATGTTCTCTCATCATTCTCTCCATTTCATCCAGACCACTGGGCAAAACTGCAGTGACATACTGCATTTCTTGTTTCTCCACCAACTTCTCCAGCTAATTAGTAAAGATAAAGGGGGTTATATATATATTAAAGGCATTTGGTTCATAATAAAATATGAAATGTTAAAGAATTTGTGTGCTTTCTCAAATTACTGCTTTTTATAGATAAAGCCATTCTTCAAAACCAGCAGTGATTTTATACCGAGTCCAGGAGTATTTATAAAATTGGCTTATGAATGTATTAACATCTATAGACTTTCTCTTACATGTACCTTTTGCTATTCTCACATCAAAAAGTATACTGTCTAAATGCAAGTTTACAGAAAAGTACAAATGTTGTTAAATATCTTTAATATACATACATACATAACAGAGAGTACAATAAATTATAATAAAATTAACTCTTTCGCTTTGGGCTCATACAATATGAAGAAATCGAGTTGCAATAAGTCTGAGATTTCTTAACGTATCCTCTCAAAAACTGGTAAGATTTTGTTAAAAATCATAAGTATTTTGTACACAAAGAATGACATTATTATAATGTTATTTTTCTATTGTAATCACTTGCACTCAAACTATTAACAAATTGTGTGCTAGGTGATTTTTATTTTAAGTATAAAAATACTTTTCTTCATCTTTTTGTTTGCATAATCTCTAGAACCTTCTAAAAGATTATCAAAAGTTTTTTAAGGTAAATGTTTGTATTCTATTTTTCATTTTTCTACCATATCACTAACTCTAGCTATTATCAGCAACGTTCAATGCAATGAAATAATTAAAATTAGGAAATAGAAAAAAAATACATACCTTTTAATTTTTTGTAGAATATCTTTAAAGATTGTTTCTTTTGTTAAATTTGTACTTTGAGGACTTTCATTTTCACATTTAGTTAATTTTTAAAGTTTTATTTTCCTTTCTTGTCCTTTACCACTTATCATTCATCAAAATACAAGTCAACAGTACCCACAAGGCATATTACAGTTTTTTTGGAAGACAAATGCAACTCTTCGTCAAAATTTTCATTCAGAGCATAATATCGTAAGCCTTGAGAACGGATGCAAAGAATGATGTATATTTAAAAATGTTTAAACCTTTTAATTAATAATTTTAAAACATAACTAACACATAATTAACTAAAATTTAATAGTAAGACCTAAGTACAGTTTAAACTGTATCTCTAACTATAACATATTTAGGTAAGAAACAACTATAAATGCTATAGTCAATCAACAGCCAACAATACTAAAGTCAGTTACATGTATTCCGCAAGGATAAATGCATGCCAATTTCAAAATAACCATTGTTAAATTAGTGTAAAATGATCTCTTTCTAATGACTATACACATATGTATGTAACAGCTACATGTTGCTATGAAGCTCAAATAAATCTGTTGAAGGTGGGTGTGGCAACTGTCAGGAGTTAAAAAATTTTATTACTTGTTTTAACTATATTCATTCAAAGAACTTTGAAATGTGCAAGTCAAAAGGTTATGTGAGCATCTTAGTGTCTAGACATACTTCTACTCAACTACCATTGTATTATTGGAGAAACAGAGAGCCAAAGTTGAGAATTTTCATAGCTCATTGGTCACGTGACAATAGATCTGAAGTTTTATGTAGTTTTTTTAAAGGTTTATTTTGAAATAAAGAACTTGGAAAACTTAGATAAAATAAAAATTTTAATCAAAACATACATTGATAGTAAAGGTATTTACTAATTTTGAGTGTAACACAGTGACTTGTGTAGAAAAGCGTTTAAAGGGGCACACATAGCGAAAGGGTTAAGGGAACCCAAACTTAGAAATCTTCAAAATTATTTTTATCATATAGAAATGAAAATTTAATATATATTACATATGTAAACACTGAAAAAAATTTTAACAAATGTTAAGAATACAATTTCCTATGTATCATAATAAAAAGCTTTTTGAAAACATGGCCAATATAAATTTCGTACCATCGTAAACTAAAATGAGTGATTATCAGAATGCTTACCTCTACAAAATTGTGGAAAAGTGTGACCATCATTGTTAGCAAGACATGAAACTCGGCAATCTTATTATTCAGTTCCTGATGTAACTTAGTGAACTGATTCACAAGACTATCTTTCTGACTCTGAAAACTTGGTGAGACTTGGATCGTTTCTGCCATCTTTAATCTCATCTCCACTTCCATAAGAACTCTCTATTAACCCAGAAAAAAAATATCACCATAAAATGTGTTAAATAAAAAAACATTCATTTTTCTTATCTCATATAATGTGATTGGAATTGTTTTAATTGTGTATATAGAATTGCAATAAAATGTTAACAAACAAATACCCACAAAGTTTTGACTCTGTCTTCATCAAGGTATTTTTGAAATAAAAAACAGTTACTTTTGAGCTACATATATATTATCACTGTGTATTATATCAGATGAAAACTTAGTGGAGAGAAACTTGAAGTTATTTGATCTTCTATAGAACTAACACAATAATCACAGGCAAATTCCAACATCACTCACCCATAAATATAACATAAATATAAAACACAGAGACTGTAGTTTAGAGAACTCATTTCATAAATAATATCCATATCTCTAAGTGCAAATTAACAGTTATTTAATAGAATTATCATTTTATGATATATGTTTGAAATAAAAAAATCTCCAATATAATGAAATCTTTAACTGTTATTGTGAACAAAGTTTGGAAAGTTGATCAATTACAACTGGACAAGAATAATCAAATTTTCTCAATACTTTTTTTTTTACATCATTTGTAATTTTCACACAATTCTGTTTCACAAAGATCATAATTCACAGAACATAAAATTAAAAATTTTAAAAACAAGATTTAAAATCTTATATGTGTTTATTTTATTCACAATAACGTGTTGAATACTTTATATGAGTGTCTTATATTCAGAAAATTATAAAGCAAATTTTGTAACTAATGCTAACACTACCAATATTGTTGTGCACTAGGCTAAGTACAGTCTCTTTAATTATCATTCAGGAGTCAATGGTTTGAGTTGACAATGTTGATAACTTTTTATAAATTGTTCATTATTAGAGTAATTGTGGCAGTATAAGTTGTTAGAAAATGTATTACTGAAGGTAGAATGCTTGGAGTGTGAGAGAAAGCATATTCAATTCCACATCATTCAAGTTTTCAATTATGACAAATAAATTAGTAGTTGTCCTATGACCCTGAGATTAGGCTTGTATATGAGAGTGGAGAAATGTGGTAGTTTAGATAGTTAAAAGCAGTAAACTACAGGGTTAACCCTACAGTTGAGATACTAAAACACTCATTTTGGGGGCAAAAGGAATTGGGTCCTACTTCAAGATAAGTAAAAGCTTGATTACTATATATTTTTTTAACTACGCCTACCACATTGTCTGTAATGCAAGTTTTATGCTGCATGCTTTTCGTGTGCTTAATTTCAAATAACTAACACAAAATAGCACTTGCAAGTTTAACATGAATATTATTTAGGACAGTTTTAGAACAGAAAAAGTTTATATAAGAGTAGATAATTCTAGTGCACACTCTACTAAAAACAGACATAATGCTCATAACATTAATATCTAAGAAGACTTAGGCTAGAGAATCATTTCCAATTCAACATAAAAAAATCATTGCACTGTTTTAAATATTATTGTCCAGTTAAAATCCTGTATGTTAACAATTACCTACAACTCAATTAAAATTCTATTCTATAAATACAGAAACAAATCAATGGTATGTGCTGAAAAAATCTCAAATTTTAACACTACAAACAGCATCTCACTTGAAAAATAGCACTAAAGAGAAAAAAGCAGGAGAACTTCCAATGAATAAAACTTGAAATATTGTATACTGGAAGCTTATATCATAATTCTGACCTTTGCTGTTGGTACATATATCGTCTGATGTTTCTCCAGATATTCAGCTATTGTTTCAGCATTGTTCAAATCTTGAGGAATAATTGGATACAAATTGTCTTGCATTTCCTTTGCTGACTCAATTGTCTTTGAATAAAAATATACCATTAAACATTGAAAAACATTTTACCAAAGTACACATAATATATGGATGATATATCTTGTGATATATAACTTATGGTAATATGAAAACACAGATTAACTAGAGAATTTCCCATCAAACTTACTCTTTATATCCTTATTACTGAAAAACATTAAAATATATTATCTAACATTTATATGAATGGTATCACATTAAGTAACAAAAAGAAACTATATGGTTGAGTATTCCATATTCTTTCACATTTTTTTAAATCTTGATTCTAAGACAGAAACGTTTTGAAATCTTTATTCCTCTAGAACAGTTGTTAATATTTTAACTAAGATTTCTAATAGAAATTCAAGACACTTTTCTTAATTGGAAACCTCATCAAATACAGACTTGGTTTACAAATATTTGATAATTAAACATAATTAATTTGTTGGCCTAGCAGTATATATTTTTTGGGCTAACTTTAAACATGCATGTCACTAACATAAAGATAACAAGAGCAGCTAACCAAATTTCATAAATGCAAACAATCTACATAGATACAAATTTATTTTAATGTATTATTAATTCTTCTGTATGGATAATATAATATTTACTCAAAAACCCCAGATACCTTTTGAGCATCTTTAAGAAACTGTTCCCAGTGTATTTTCTGCTCTTTTCCAGCACTAACTCGTGTCTGCCAAGACATCCACAAATTACTAAGTTTCTCCTTTCGTGTTTTAAAGTCTTCCAAGATTGTTTCCACACATAGAATTGCCCTTTTGGTGTCCAAATGCTTATCATCCACCTTCATGAAAATAAACACAAAGATTACTAATAACCAAAGACCTTGACTCTAGAATGCAGTCCAGGGTCCAAGAGACCCAGCACAGTTTTTATTGGGCAATAAAACTATGTTTCCATGACCCTCCTTCTATTCCTCTAAAGACCACTACTGAAACATTGTTAAGTATTTCAGGACTGCATCATAGGGTTAAATTACTACCAATAATATATGAAAACAGAACACAACCTTTTCTTTCAACAAATTTCTCAAATGGTTCTAATGAAAACTAATTACAAATGATATTTAAGAAATAACTATCTCCAACCAATTTACTGTCAAATTGAATCTAACCTATATAAAAGCCAGTGTGTGTCATGTCATGTTTCATTTGATTTCTTGAAATAGGAGGAATCATAAAAGCCAAAATGCATTTATCCAGATAGAATAGTTTGATTACTGTCTACCCACCATGATTTTAGTGATGTGGGTGCAAGAGGGCTGGGGGAGGGGGGTATTAAACCTTATAAGTGCTGTGAGTGTTGGTATAATAAGTCTAAAGTAAAGACATAGTGTGGGATCACCTAGCCTAGAGACAAGTGCATAAAAAGTAAAAATACTGATTCAATTTTAAACTTAAATCATTTCTGATTTAAGCTATTTTCTGTTATATCACCAACGTTTTTAATAAAAACAAACCTATCTAATCAATGGAGACTAAATTAAGAAATCAAAAAATATTTTTCCAGTTTTATTGTCTATACATTTCATTTTATACTTTCAGTACATAGACTAACAAAAATATTAGGTTATACTTTTGTTGCTAAGCGACATGACATAAAAGTCATTGTTGGAATGTAGTGTTACCAAAGTGCACTGGCTTTTCTTATAGGTTATACTTTTGTTGCTAAGCAACATGACATAAAAGCCATTGTCGGAAGGTAGTGTTACCAAAGTGCATTGGCTTTTCTATATATTAGAAGTTGTTAATCTAACCGATTCTTACCAATATTTATTCTATGAATACACCATGAATTCATTTCATGAATGATCTTAATTTTGATTGGCTCACAAAGGAACTTATCAACATTTTACTGCCTCAACTGCACTTTTCTGCCTTTTTACTGGTCAAGCTTGATTTCTCAAAATTTACCTATTTCAGTTAGCTATGAAATGTGAGGGTAGGGTATACTATGGGGGTAGGGGTGGTAGTCATTTTTTGATGGGCTATACACTAATAAAAATCAACAACAATATTGATTTAAAAACTGTTTAGTTTATAGTAATTTATTAAACAAAAAAACCAGGTAGAAAGATCTTAAACACAAGTTGCTATAATCTGGAGAATTTTAATTTTAATTCTTAAAACAACTGTGGAGAGACAAATGTCATCGGTATTTATTTGAACAGGTTTATGTGTGTAAACCCAGAATCTTGGATATTTTCTACAATATCTGTAAGGAAACACTGACACAACAAAGTGTAAAGTGTATGTATATTTACCAACATAAATTGTTTGAATGCCTAAATAATCTTTAATAGTATTAATAACAAAGACGTATACTCATCAAAAAACACTACTACAGAACATTTAGCAGATAAATGTTTTTTCTATGTGCATGCATTGCTTATAACACCATATTGGCTACTACCCATAATTTCCCTTCAAGTAGCTTAAGATTAACATTACACAAGAATAATCATACAATGACATACAATAATGTCTTGAAATAAAGGTGTTTTATCCTTAAACTTTTTACAATTTCAGAAGTTTTTCAAACAAACTGCCTCATCATCTACTGTAGCTTTTCACAGTAAAATCATTAAAAACATATTTTATTGGTGACAGAATATTATTTCATACATAAATAAATCATTATAATGTACTTGTATACCTGTGTAGCATCCTCTATAAAATTTCTCCCTGTATTAGTTAACTGTAAGAATATCTGTTGACAGGTCATCCACTTCTCTTCCAGTTGTTTCATCATGCTTTCAGTTTGAGGTTCTTTTTCCCTAATCATTTCTTCAACAACATCCATATCGTTAGCTAACTAAAGAATATACAAAATAAATAAAAAAGTAACGATTATTTTTTTATTAATGTGCTGAAAGACATGTGCAACAGTTATAAGGGTTCGTGTTTACAAATATTTAGTTTCATCACTTTATAGTACTTATAACTGTGAAAATATATGAAATAACCTGTAAAATGAAAGACTTATGTACTGTTACTTAGTTGTTTATATTACCTCAAATCTGAGAACATTACTATTTATATAGAACTTGAGAGTAGCCACATGGTTCTTATATAAACAGTAAATAGTACTTCCAGATCACTGTTTAAGTTTGTTATACTTAATGCTCAGGAAAATATTCTATATGTTTTACAGCCTTATTGGATAGAATATACAGCCCCCTATTACAACATAAAACTATGGATTAACCAAATATATACAAAATATTTGCAACTAAGACAAAGATTGAAACTTGAGGCAACAAAACATTTGAATCAGAAATGTTTAAACAAACACCTAATTTCCTTAAAAGTGTAAATGTCTATTTCTATTAAGTACTTTTACCAAGTGTGAGCTATTCTTTTATTCATTTTTGAACAAAAATAATTCACAAGATAATATATTACCCATGTAACACAACTGCAAATGAACAATATTACAATATAAAATGTAATCTTTAAAAAATAATTAACATCTAATACATGAACCACACAAACAACTTTTACAGCATGAAGATTATGAACAGCTTTTACCTAAATTTTATACCATCATCATTTAGATTCTACCTATAATTAACATATAACTATCAATTACATATGGTACATATCCTGTAAACCTAAAGGCTAATTCTTAAATACAATTATGTTGAATTGTATAATGTTATAATTTTCTAGAATACCTGAACAGCAAGTTTGTGAAATGAGACATAATGATGAGATAGTTTTATCCTTTTTTCTAGGAGTGATTTCATTTCATCCCAATGATATCTCAGGTTTCGAACTTTTTGCTGAACTTCTTCAGCTTCTTCACCCCCAACACTCAAGAGTGGGGGTATTGTACTTAACAGAGCTTGAACTTCAATTCCTTTCATCTAAAACAAACAAACTATTTGTAAATGATTACTACTAAATAAGTTTTCATGATATTCAACAAAGTTGAGTAAAAATTCATTACATACAAAAGCCAAACTGAAACATTCTTAAAGTACACAATAAGTACTAAGTATTCAACCTCATACAAACAAATCATCTCTACTAACTCTTGACCAAATGCTTTAGTCAACTACTAATCCATACATATTCATTCAAAAATTAATATAAAGTATCATAACAAAAGAAGGAATAGTGTAAACTGAAAAGTAAGCATGATTAAAGAAAAAATTTCTTACTTTTCCATTGAGTCACATGTATCACCCTTAGTAAGTAAGTAATCTTTCATACTGTATAAATTTTATTAAAAGCAGTCTGAATCTCTTTCATCTTTCCTTCAGTTAAAATAGAGCTTAATGTAATTAAAACACTGTGGTATAAAACTTGCAAAAGAATTTCTATTTCTGTAATCTCTTTCCAAAGTTAAGCAAAAGAGTAACCAGAAAATGTACTATTATGTTTATAAATCACAAAAAAAGAATTTGGATTTTTAAGCAAACTATTTACATAGCAACACAATATGATTTTATATTTTTCTGTTTTTTCAGTGACCAGTACAACATGATTTATATAGAATATTAAATTAAATATTTTTTCAAGTTCTTACTTAAATTATACAGACAATAAAAAAAACAATACAAAAATACCTATGGTACAACTTTTTAAAACTTAATAAAAAAAAGTTATAAAATAAAATCAACATAAAAAGGATCTAAAAGACAGATAAAGTCAAATATTAAAGGTTACCTGAGCTTCATTCTGGAGTCGTTCATGCTCTTGTAAAAAGTGTTTAGCCATGGAGAGAACACTGCCCATATCCTGGTGACCTTGGAGAAAAGCTAGACCTGCACTCAGGATCCAGTTAAACAACTTTAAAACAAATAAACAAAAACAGAGGGTATAACTTTCACACAAGGTTACATTCATCAAAAACCTGTTGATTTAATAGCTGATATATTTGATTTAGTTTCAAAGTACATAAAGAAAAAGAAAAGCACTGCTGCAATCCTAATAAAGGATATTTCTCTACTAAATAGCAACATTCCTTCAATCACTGAAATAGCCCTGAAATCCAATTTTTTCTTCTCAGAATTTAAACCAAACAATATTTTAAAAGAAATGTATACAGAATGAGATACAATATAAGCTTGCATACAGTCATGTTATGAAAGTCTTACTGGTAATATTCTGATAACTTGATTTCTAATAAGCTAAGTTTTTCTTTCTAGCCACCCACTCATTGGTTTTAACTACTTACATCTCACACAAGGAATGGTGTCTTTCACCTATCTTACTTTACATTACCAAAAATATTTTTTCAGCCTTATTCTGCTGAATGGTGTGAGAAAATTATGAATGAATTCAGTAATGAAACTTGGCATACATATCACACAAAATAGCTTAGGTTTTAGCTTTCTGTTATTGTTTTTTACAATATCAAGTAACAATTTACTTCATCTGTTTTAAGTAAAAATAGCTTACAAAACAAACCATAACAGAAACTATCTGATAAATATTTCTCCTTTTATATAAAACATTTTATATATTTGGGACAGCAAGATCATTAAAACTTATTTTTATTCAAAACAAATCTTTTAGTTTCCAACCTAACTAATGTGGTTTTATTAGCTGTTAAATAAGTTATGAAATAAATCAAGCACAGCAAAAAAATCTGTGAAATTCATTGACTTACAATATCATACTTTTCACAAAAGTTTGTAAAGGCAGCACTCCTCTCCAGGTTTTCAGCTCGATGTGCTGTGCACAGGCTACTGAGGTGATGTCTCCGGTCCTCCAGTTCAGCAATCTATATGCACAAATTAATAAAAGAGCTCAAACTGATTTTTTCTGTGAACACAATGTCACATACATGTTTATTTTTCAAATATTTCAAATACTACTGACTTAAAACAGACCTAGATTGTTCATATCTACTAATTCAAACTGAAATAATACAGATGTCTAGAATTTAAAATAAAAACATTTCCAATTTCATTCAGTGTATGTGGAATTTACAGTTGTGATCAGCTATGAGTGTTACTGGAAATTTGTTTTCTTTTGGTTCCTAAATGTCTGAAAACTCCCAATATTTGTCAAAATATAAGTGTTGTGGCAAAATGAAAAATAGTGTGAACTATGTGCAAGAAATAAAATATTCAATGTCTGTAACACAGGTATTATGAATGGCAGTGAAACTGATGTTAAAATATATCTGCCCAATACATGTAGCTATAAGGAAAATTATCATCTACAAATTAAAGCAATGAAATGTTTAACTGAGTGCTATTCTTTTGAACAAAGAACAACTTTTGAGCAGAAAAACCTATAAATCAATTGTTTGGAAATATAAAAAATTACAAATATTTTACCTTTCTGGCTACTCCAGTGGCACCAGAGTCACTCCTGCCGACCCTCTGAAGTAGGACGTGACCCTCGTGGAGAGCAGGACTGGTAATATCCTCAATAGCATGTGCTAATTGAGCGTGCTGCTGCACTAGTGCAGCACTGCTCCTCGGAAGATCGATAGTCGTTAATTGAACTTCGATTTGGTCCAGTTTATTTAGAGCCTACGACCACAGATAATACAATAGCAAATTATCTATTAATACTAAAAATGACAATTAAGTAAACAATAGCTCTGATCATACTGAGCACATAAAGAATAAAGGAACTGATGGCTTAATGTTACAAGATATGCATGCTTATCTTATGCTTTTTCTTTTCATAAGCTACAGAAGATTTCACCTTTTTCAGTTACTTACAGAAACACACTACTTTTTTTCCAGTTTTTAGCTACCTTAAAGTTTCATTAAAATCACAGCATTACTTTTCAACAATGACACTAAAATTCATAACAAGTTTATAAATTGTTACAGCCATTTATGAGCCCCTAAATATAACAAGATTGTCCAATCAGTTGTTTACATCATTCCAATATTTACACAAGTTTTTAGAAACATGTTTAATTAATCCTTAGAAAACATATGGTGCTTGAAAAATATTTTAAGGGTTATTTGTGGCATATACACAACGGGTTTACTTCAGCATACCGTTTGCGCCATGTTAAAGAAGGACAGTGACATGGATAGATGTTCTTTCCTCTGGTCTAGGGCTGCTAAAATGTCAGAAGTGTCAGAAAGCAAGGTGTAGCCTCTACCTTTTATTTCTTCACTTGCGTAATGTCCTGAATTAGCAAGCTGTTCTGCAGTTTTTAATAACCGAACAGCACGATCTTGTGCTTCCTGAAACAAAAACAATTGACAAGTAACATTAAATACATTGCTAAGTCTACACATTTTTATACATATGTATATATATATATATATATACACACACACACACATTCAGCTCTTTCAGGTATTTTTATCTAATAATTTTATCAACACATCTGTACCTAGAGCTCAATATCAAAGCCTTTAAGTTTCTAGTATATTAAAGAGGCAAAACATTTTTCAAAGTTAAATCTAAATGTCCTGTTCATTCAATGCTACATGGAAATATTTTAACAGATGTAAAAATAATTAATACTTTTTATTAAAATTCATATGTAAAAATCTACTAATTTTCATTAATTACCTACAGTATACTGTTTACAAATATCATCTATTTGTAAACATACTAGAGCTTGGGAATGTATTTTAATCATACAAAAGCACATAAAATTTCATTTTGTGCAAATTTTTGCTTTGTTTAGAAAATTTTACAACTGACTTATATTCCTATGAACCCACTTAACACCATACAAACCTCAAGTCTGGTTATCTTAAATAGTTATACTTCTTACAATGTCATATACATTTTGTAGGAAAATCAAAATTTTTGCTTGCCACTAGCCCTGATACTCCCATCTACCCCAGGTGTTTAATATGGTACAGTTGCACTGTAGCATGCAACCCTCCACCAATAGAAGTACAACACACCCTCCTGGTGCAGTTGGCTCCCTCTATACTATATAACTCAATCTTCACTTCAAGATTAGGCAAAAAAGAAGCATCAGAATTGGGAAGGCAAGTGTTAGAAGAGGTAAGTATCTATCGGAAATACATTTTCAGTTTAGGAAAATTATAACTTTTGATCAGATACCGTACCTCTTCTTACATAATAGCTAGAATCCCACACTGACCTGGTGGAGGGACCAGTGCAAAATTTACTTAGATAAGCACCCTTTAGAAAGCATCTGAAGAGAGCCCATGGAGTGTGACATCTCTCTGTAGAGGAACACACTGGTAGGAGACCACCTCACATCTGAACCAAGTATACTCTTTGCCCACAGTGAAAATATGTGTCACTAAATTGGGTGGAAAAAAGCAAATATGCACGCAAGTAGACACACCAAATGGTGTAGAATGGCTAGGATACATAAGACCATAACTGGTAGGTCAACTCTAGTCTCAGGTATTTGTCTTCCAGTCCACAGCAGGAGGATGGTCCCAACCATTTTTACCTCAAGCTTATGAAGTAGAAGGGAAAAACAAATTCTGTTCCAACCACCCAAGCAAGGCATATATGTGCAAACCCAGTACACAATCCAAACCAAGTCACCCAGGAACCGACATCTGAGCAACATTAGAAAGGAGAAATGCAATGTGGTGTTTCACTCAAATCCTAAACCAGGTGGCACTGGGAATTCTTCATTCAGTCTGCCATATGTTGTCTGATCCAGCTCTAATCCAACACAGAACACCCAGAAACTGACACCTGGGCAGTATTAGGATGAGGGGTCCCAGCCAGAGGGGTGAACTGCAATTTGATAGATCATCTCCAGTCCATAACCATGCAGAAAAAGACTCTGTTGGAAGCACAGAAAGATCTGTCTGCACTCCCACTGTAGTAGTAGAAAGGAGTGCATGCAGCAGCATATGTCTGAGATGGAATGGGAGACAACAACTTCCGAGTCTCTGGATAAGATATGTTGTACTTCTTTCTCCTCCACCCACTTAGGGCAAGATTGAAAGTAAGAGGGGTGGGAACCACCACAATTGACACAGTGAGAGTCCAGTTGACACTTGTAGGTGTCAAGGTCATTGCCACCACAATGCACTCACATCAAAGAACCATGACAAGATGCCTTAGAATGTCTGAACCACTGACCTGGAAATACCTGAGTGGATTAGGAATATAAGGCCATACCTTACAGTTCAGAGAACCTGTTTTGACAGTGGCAGGCAGATGTGACAATGTAAATGTTAATACAAGAACATTAGTAAGCACCAGAATTCCTTCTTTACGAGTTGACATACATTGACAGCAGAAACTCCTTGGCTGGAGAAATCAGTGAGTATCTCCGAGTTGGGAATGTTTCTTAAATCCTTCACAATGATAAAACCTTGTGAGGAATTCAAAGTAGCATGGGGAATAACCTCAATAGGTATATCCCCAATGGCCTTGGATTTCAGGAGGAGTTCGCTGTGTTCTGATGTACATTTTGCCACCAAGATTTCCCCAAAACATGGCTTTTTAACTGACTTTGGAGAGCCAGCAAGCCCCTCTAATCCCTTCTGAATGAAAAAGTGAAAAAATCTACCCTAAAGGTTTGTCAGACAAAGAATGCAGGATGAAGGTACAGGTACAGATTGGGGTAGTGTCTGCTGTTCAGAGTCTTCCAAATGTGGTTGCTTTCCTATCAACAATTTTTTTATATTGTTTTTCTGTGTTTTTTGGGGGGTCACTGGGTGCAGGATCCATACGAAATAGAGAAACTTCAGTACCCATCAATCAGCACACACAGATGTACCTTACCCATCATCAGACACTAGACTGGTTCTCACTGTTGCACCCAGTGTCTCATAGGACTTTCATTTTCTTGTCCTTGATATAGCCTTCACTTACTGGTCATTTGTTATCATCTCTTGATGTTTGTCACATGCTCCAATCACTACTGGCACTGCTGAACTGTTTGCTAACTTGAGCTGACCATCATTCATGCACTATTTAATCATAATGATAGCACTTCCTTCTTGTGATGAATCGGAAGAGTTATCTCCATTCTGTTTCTTCTGGCATCAGCCCCCATGGTGAGAGTCTATCATTTCTTGTTTCTTGCTAGCACCATGTTTGTAGGTAGCTCCAGCTGCTTTATTTGAGATTTCTGCAGTTGCTTGTTGGTGATGGACTTGCACTCACTCACAATGAGTCAGTCCCATTTCATAACAAGCATAGTATCTCTTTTCCCATTTGTCTGTTGAATTCTTGTCATGTTTGGTGGCATGCTTCTTTTGGTCAGCTACCCCTGGTTTTGACTGGTTATTCTTGGACTTGCCATTAGTAATTCCTCCATGGATTTCCATATACTCTTCCATCAGCTAGATCATCTCATCCATGTCTTTTGATGCTCTCTCCATTAGGAACAGTGACATGTCAATGGAGCACGTGATCATGAACTGTTTACGTATTAGTAGGTTTGCCAATCCTCAAAACCATCTTCACACTTGGCCATGTCAGTCCATCTTTTGAAGTATTACCATAAACATGACACCAATAGAAATACAGTTTCTCCAGTGTCAGGTTTGACTTCTCTGAACTTCTAGTGAAATCCTTCCTCGGTAACCTCATAATGTTTCAGCAAGGGCCACATTTAACTTTTTACAGTCCATGGCATCTTTTGACATCATGCCTACATACACTTGTAGGCCTTTTCTTGTGAGAAGGGGGCTGAAACAGACTTCCAAGTTGCCTTTGTCCCAGTTCTGACTTGAACAAATCTTTCATACCTCTCCAAGAAAGCATCCATGTCATCTTTGTGTTTATCAAGTTTGGGCAGCTTGGGTCGGCTGGCCCTGATCCCATTGTCATTCTTGGATCCTTCCTCTTTCTGTTGGGTACATTTGGCGATCTCAATTTGTGCTCTTATTCTCTCTACTTCCAGTCTCTCCTCTCTCTCTCTTTTTTTTTGCTTCTTTCAGTTTTTCTCTTTCTTCCTTTCTTCTCTGCCTCTCCTTTTTTCTAGGTCTTGTTGTTGTTTAACAAACTCTTTTAGATTGCCATCTTTGAGCCTAAGTCACTTGCCCCTCTCTATCCACTTATCAAAGTCAGTCAACATAATTATATAGTGTGATTGTGACCTCTACAATGTTTTTGCCACCATTATAGCTGAGTATATATAGGCCTATTTCCTCTGTTGTTCACATCTTCTTCTACCGCCATTACCACTGTATAATTCTGCCTGGCTTGCCAATGTCAGGTTTTTATGTATTGGATTCTTTACAGTAGGTGTCTGTGACTTGTTAGCGATAAATTTAAACAATAAAAAACAGCACACAGTCAACATATTTACAATTATTCATTACACTGTGGGTTATCACAATTGTATCCAGAGCTTTAAATAACTGTCTCTTTTTCATCACATTCTACACAGGCTGGTTCAGTTACTTTGGAACACAATTTGACAAGACAAATTATTCTTTCTGCTATGCAGTTATAATATAGTCTGTAATAATTTCACTTTAAAATCACCACTATAACTGTTGGTTACCACAGTTGTATCCAGAGCTTTAAATAACTCTCTTTTTATCAGAATCCAGACAGGCTGGTTTAATTACTTTAGAATACAACTGACAAGACAAATTATTTCTTCTAAACTCTCTTATTACAATACAATGCAATTTAGAAATCACCATTATATGCTCTTTATGGCTAAACTCACAATCACACAGTCCAGATGTAACTATTTCTCTAGCTATCCTAGACAAATAGCTAATTTGTCATTTCTAGCGAAACCACAGCCAAGGGAACGGGCTTGGAAAAATCAGCTAATTAAAAATCAAATAATTATATTTGACCTTCTTTGCAACTCAAACTACATTTTGGACACATATTTATGGCCTGACCAAGGCCTAGAACATTGCACACCCAATGAGATATTATGATGCAATAATACTGAATTAAAACAATGAGAAAAACTTAGAAGGTACTAGTAACATGATACAATAATACAACAAGCACCAATTCACAACATTTGAACTACATAATGTATGATTCAAACATTTACGTGAAATAAACTATCACTTGTAAAAATAAATAAACTTAACACTCGAGCTATTCTTATACTATCTAAATCATAGCACTTGTACTAAACTTAAATGGTCATGTATATCTATAAGTGATTATTAGATAAGTATATTGCAGATAAAAGTTACATATAAAGGTAAAAGTTTCTATTAAGTGTACTTGGAGTGTTATATCATTCTTGAGACTTGCTCTGAAATTTGTGAAAAATTTCAGTAAAAGGTGTGGTTCTTTATTTCCTTTAAACACTCACTTTTGCTTCAATAACAGCCTTTTGATGCTCATGAAGTAATATTTCTGCTCCAGCTGCAGAGTCCCCGAGATTATTCTGTTTAAGGTATTCTTTACCTTTTGTTTTGACCCAGTTCTCCACCTAAGTAAAAAGAAAAAAATCATCATGGTTATGATTTTGTAACAATATGCATACCAGTCAACTGCTTTTAATGACAATTCATATAAGGAGAAAAATTCATTTTACAAATTTATATTTTTTGCATACTGCAAAAACTACCTTATCAACTGACCAAACACTTTGTTAGGGGAAAAAATGCTGTGGTATACTGGATGATGAATATTGAATCATAAGTAATCAATTCTTCATTACAATGAGCTGACATCATAAAACTAGAGTTTACAAATAAACATATGCTAATGGAATTATAAAATAACCATATGAGGTGATCAACATACTGGTTTCCACACAGGAACAGGAAGTACTATTATATCAAGTATTTTTTTCTTTGACAAATTATTGGTGATTTCTCAACAGTAATAGAAGTCACTTGTGTTTTGTTTGATGCACATTAAAGTAGTAAAAACAAAACAAGTACATATTTATTGTGAAAATTTCAAGCTTGAAGCAGCAATTAGCTAATCATTAAAACAGTAATAAAGTTAAGCCAAAGTTGAATTTTCTTGATATCACTAGTGAATTTTATTAGTGCTTAATAAATTTTTCAACTTCATGATAAGGTTTTCATCTTATATTTGTTTTACAAATATGCAGGCAGTACTACTAATAAATTAACAAAATTATCAAAACATTTGCTAAATTCCTATGACAAACAAGTTTTGGTTAGTATGGTAATTGAAAATTTAAAGGAATTAAAATAATTATATTTTATTTCTGTGGGATTCTAAGATACGATACCAGTTCATCTCCAATACTTTTGCTGTGATCTAATTCTAATAAGTAGAAGAGTCAAAATCTTGACATGGATCACAGATTAGACTGATTAGTCCTTATAATCTTAACCTGAACAAAAATTAAAACTGCTTAAAACCTCAAAAAAAAAAAGGAAAAAAAAAAGAAGAAATATATATTGTTCCATAAAGAATAAACTGTTCTCTTGTTCCTTTTCTTATTAGTCTTTTACCAACAATTTTTCTTTCAAATTCCTTCAAAACTTTTATAACCAAAGAAATTTAAGAAACCAACCTGATCCATGTCACTGTACAACAGACACAACTGTAGACATTGTTCAAGTTGTGTTTTTCTTTTTAGCCATTGAGCCTCGAGACTTCGTCTTTTGTCGTGCAAAGATTCCATATAACGTTCTATTCCAATACACGCTTGTTGAGCAGCATGTCTCATGTGTTCAGGTCTGGAATCCCCCATACTGTGAATGCCTACTTCTCTTAGGCATTCTAGAAGAGACTGGCCTTCATTCAGTGTATGCATGGAGGCTTCCAACATACCTAAAATATAGTATTGTTATATTTTTAATAAACCTGAAAGAAAATCTCTTTAATAATCTTTACACTCAAAAAATAATGAATTCCAATTTATACTGTATTACAGTAATTATTTTCAACAAGACATTGCAAAAATAACAAGTGTAAAATACTCTTCTGAGAAGAGTTCAAGTAGGCTTAAAAACTGGAAACATTTTTCTTCTAACATTATAACTACTTACTATTTTTTACAATTTTAGAAGTGCCTATGGTACATATATTTTATGCCTTTACTAATCTTCACAAGTTAGTCTCTTAACTTTTGTTTATGTAAGAAACAGCTGTGTATAGCATTTACATAAAAGAAATAGAGTTTACCCATCAAGTCTCTATCAGATACTTAAAGTCAATGACACTGTTCATATACCATAAACTGATACAAAAAAAGCATTGATACTTCTTGGGCAGTTAAAACAAATTCCTAGCAAAAACGACATTCCCACTATCTCATAAATATATAAATTTTGGGACACCAAGAGGTCTTTTGGCCCATAAAGAATATCCTGACTCTCAAACATCACTAAATCCAGCCCTAAACCTCCAAATATTCATCAATCCTTTCTTAAACTTCTGTAAAAATTGTTGCTTAATTCTACTACTCTAAATGTTTTTCCTAGTTATCACTTTTACTATTATTACATGTACAAAGTATAATTTAACAATTTACTTCAAAGTTAACATTGTGTATGGTTATATTACCACATCCTCTAAATTTCATAGAAACTTGAAATCCTAATAAAATATTTAGTTTAACCAAACACAAAACTTACCTTTTTTGGCATCATGATGTTGCTGTAAAAGCATTCGACAAGTTTCAGCATCAGATGGTAAATATGTATCGAAAGCTTCTTTCTGAGTTACATCCATTCTCTCCACAAACTGTTAAAAAGTAAACAAAAACATTTTGGATGATTACATTGATGTTCATCAGTAAGATTCTTGAATAATGTAGTAAAAAACTATTAAGTGTATACATGAATCCAAGTAGAAGTTTTCAGTTTTTTTTTATGTTAAAAATAAATGTCAGTAGCCAATGGTTAAACAAGATATATCAGAGGAAAAATCTTAAAACGTTCCAACTTCTCTTATTACAAATATTGCATTCACCAAAAGAATCATTCAAAATGCTATTGTGACTGATTTAAAAATTATTAAAAATCAAACTGAGTTTGAGAATCATTTGCTAGTATTAAGAATGCTCACTTATCTTTAAGCATTTGACCTAAGCAAATGTCAAGTGAAATCACGTGTGTACATGCATGCTATAACTAGTTTCACATATTATATTGTATTTCACAAGTTTGTACGAATAGCAGACAATGAATTATTTTATTAACTATATATATATAAATATGTACGTAGAGTCGAACAATTAACTTGATTAATCATCTACCTATGAACATCAATTACACTACTTTGTGTCATGTAAAATAACCAATTCATCAAATTATGATTAAATTCATTAATGTTACAAAAATGAACAACTAACCAACATCTACATTTAAGATTATTTTTTTTCCATTATTCCAAATATCCAAGCAAGTAAAATATTTTCATTATGATTTCTCATTATTTTTTTACACATGCTGAGGTATCCCAACCTTTGTTTAGGTTATGAACTTAAAAAAATATGGGGGTGGATGCTATGATAAATAATACAAAAATCCTAACCTTCACACAGTTTATTTGTAAAATAACATATTATTACAGTATTCATTATTACCACAGCAAAAGTTCTGCATACGCTTTAAGAACTCAATATGTATATACTGAAAACATGGTATACATTTTGTAGGAAGAGGTAGCAGCCAAAGTAGTGGCGGTAGATGTGCTTTCTGCTTTCAAAACCCAGCTCTTAATGTCCTTCCACAGTATTTCAAGTGATTAATTAATTGATGTTCATTGGCTGCAGATGTGTCTTACAGGTTGAAGTTGAAATGTCACTGGACAAAGGAGGAAGTGGTTTTAACTCAAGAAACGGCTCTTCCTATAAGCGTTATGGTGGCTGTTGGAGTTGAAGCTTCAGCTGAGTTGATGTATTATTGCCATAGTGGTGGCCATTTTTTTCATTGCATTTCACCATAGAGTGTGTTAGCACACTCTCTGACATATACAAGGTATATGTGTGTCTGCCCCTCACACTGTATGTATGTTGTGTTATACAAAATTTAATAAAGTTCTTTTGTTGTTGTAAAGACATGATACCAACTATGAATGTAGTTGATTTTAACTTATGTTAAAGATAATAAATGCTCAATAACAGCAATAATGGGAGGTAGAGGGGGTTGTGAACCCCACATTAACATGTCCCTTGTTCCAAACTATCATCCCACAAAGTTCGGTTGAGATTGACACAGTGACAAAGAAGTAGCTGGATAGTGGGCAAACAGACAGACGCACAGATTTTTGTGCTTTATATATATATAGAAGATTAAATTAAGGTTATTTGGCTAAATTTCTTAGCATCACAACTCGTGAAAATAATTAACTAATCAAAATTAGTGTTTCCAATTATTAGTATTTTCAATGATTCCAACTATCCAAATCTCATGAATTAACTGACTAGTTGAACATAATTGATAATGAGCCTGAGAATTAACTCATTAACAAATTCCACTAATTACCCAGCTCTATATGTATAAACAGTTATATTGTTTTTAGATGTATATATAGATAGACACAAAACTGATATGCTACACTAAACAGTTAAAAAAGTAACTTCAGTTTCTGCACTTGGCCTGAACTTTTGAATCTTTAATATGCCAATAGTCGAACTACTCCATGAACATAAAATATTCTCTAAAAACTAGAATTATCTAAAGTTTTCCATTAAAGTGTGAGACTTTGCATTTTGACTGGAGGACAGATGGAATGTATTGACATCCTGGCGATGTTGTATTAATTGTGTTGTGTATTCGTAATCTAAGAATGAGCTTTGTTTGAGTGGGAAATAATGTAATGATCAGGATGGAGCTTGAGTCTTGGTAGAACATCAGCCTCAGAGAAAAAATGTGAGTTTAGTGTCCTGGATTCAAGCCAATCAGAGTAACTTTCTCATTACCAGTATTGATTGTTTTTGAAAGATAACTCATGGTGATTAGTTGTTTAACACTTCTATTATTAGAAAATGGTAGTATTTTGCAGCTTAATATTTTTATTTTACAATTTTTGTTTCTCACATTTATCATAATTTTTAGCAGTGATATCTTATACATTTGCTATAAATAATTTTTGTTTATAACATGCCTTATATTTATGATCACTGAGTAAAAACAACTTTTGTTTATCTATGGATCTGAATATAAAATTTAAAATAAATTTTACTTTAGTTATCCCCAATATGAAGCATCTAATTTACCTATCATTTTATTAAAGTTCAACACTTAATTTTGTTTGGTTATAGTTATCAGTAAATATTTGAAGAATTTCTGGAAAAATTTAATGTAAAAAATAAAAAATGAATTTCTAGTTCTGATGAATAATTGTTCTTACTTCACTTGCTCTTGAATGAAAATTAACAGCTTGTTCTAAGATTTGACGTCTTTGTTCCAGTTGAGCATTTAAGTCTTTCCAGGCCAGGCCTAAGTTGTCAGCCATTGCTGCATAAACCTCAGCTTTAGGCTTCTGGTTTGAGATCAGTTCATCTGCCTGATTGAGCAATTCTTCAACTGGGCTTTGTTTTGTCTAAAAAATAGATTACCTTAATTTATTTTAGTAAAGAATTAACAAATACACATGTATTTGTACATAAAGGTAGAAAATTAATAAATACACATATATTTTTATTTGTAGACACAGATAAAGAATTAACAAATACACATGTACTTTTATTTGTAATTACACATTTTCAAACAAAAATTTATTCTTCCAAGTTTTATTTTACAGAATTATTGAAAACAATGATGTTATCAAAGTTAATACAATAAATGTCAATCACTTTACTTTTGTATAAAGAAATAGTAACTGCTCAAAGATAAAAATAGCCCCTTTAAACAGTTAACAATGCTTTTGCCAAGTAACTGTCTATCAAACTATTCAAGCCAGCAATAAAAGAGCAGGATCAAGGTTAATAGTTAGCTTCCCATAAAGTAGAACAGAAAAATGGTGTGTTGTGCTTTTTCCACAGGTCACATTGTTTCTGTTAAGTGCCAGTCCTCCATTTCATTCTCACTTATAAAACTTATACTATCATATCTTGGAAATAAACTGCTACTTAAATCAACAATCAAATGACTAAGAAAATTAATGAACAATCTACATACAGATAGATATATCAGAAATATTTTGCAAGTGATTAAAAAATAAAAACTAACAAACATTTATTTTATTTCTGACATGCATCAAGTATTGAGGATTCATAGTAATTTCTTAGTATTCAATCACCTGTTACTAGCACCACTCATTTGTTTTTGCCAAAACTCTGACTGACAATACTTCATCATAATGTCAAACCTGTATGTTGATCATTATGAACAGGAATATAAGACAATTTTGCTCATGAAGAAAAAGTATGGGCCCTTTGTTTTTGAAAGGAATAACCTTGACAACATTTGTTAATATAAGCTGAACAGTGAATGTTTAATCAATAATGAGTAAAAAACAATCCTATTAAAGGTGTATTTACGTGGTCCATTTAATCATTTTCTACAATGTACTTGTATTAAAGTTACAATTTACAGACTGACAGTTCAGTGTAATGATGTAAGGAATGAAATATCAGCTATACTGCTTGGTAAAACACATAACTCTTAAAAGTATATAATGCAAAAACTTTATCACACATAAAAAACATCACACTAACCTTGTAAAAATCCAAATTTTTACAACACTTTCCATTTCAGACTAAAGAAAAAGTCCCATAACAACAATTACAAATGAAGAAAGATTACTGCAAAGCAATATTCCCATTTAGTAACACATAGACACAAACTAGAAATATTTTAATCAGTGCTATGAAACACACTAATAAACCTGTATATTAGCATACAGATATAAGTCCTAAGCTTGTCTTGTATGATGATTTGCTGAAAGCAAGCTAAGAAATAAGATAAAATAAAAAACAGGTAGCAAGAAAAAGACCATGCCTAACAAGAGCAATACATAAAATTTGTTTATTTTATCATTTACTTGGGTATATGTTCATATTATAAAAATATTTTAGAACATCACAACTTTATCTTCAAGTCAATGTGTAACAATATCTCAAGTGTAAGTGAATGTAAAAACACCACAGACATCCCTATAAGGTCCTGGGACAAGCTTCTCCAGGGCTAAATTTGGAAGCAATATTATGGAAGGGTTTGAAGTAGTAGGCACTATAACAATCTCAGTCAGGAGGTTCGCATGTAGGCTAACAATGTGTGTGTTAACTCAAAGTCCACAGACCAGTGAGCTAATATGTTAAACATTTATCACACCACTGACAAAAATAACTTTCAGACAACAGCTATGTCTGATGATTCAACTGTTATAGCTGAGGAACAATAAAAATGAATCATAAATTCAAAACATTTGGAGCAGTATTTATTACTAACTAGTGAAACTTTATTCAGCATAGGTATTTTTCTACTATTATACTTTTATACAACTGTTACTAATAATTTTATATAATTAGATAAATATATACATCAGTTGCATGGATCTGGAATGAGCCCTAAAACTGCTGACTAAATCATCAACTGAAGTTTTACTGCAACTAAAAAGCATCACAACATACTAATTATATATATATACACACACGCACACAGGAATAGAACATAAACAGTATTTTATTTCTGTTTAATTAGCCTTACTTAATTGTTACATATGCCTATGAAGTGTTCTTATACTGTGTGTGTTGTATCATTCCTAAATGGCTATTTAAGCCATAAAATGCTCAAGTTTAAAAGCTCTACATATAAGGAAACTGTTATCAGTAAAAATGTGTTCACTAAATAAAAAATGTTTTCAATATTACTAAAACTCATTTGGAAACTGAAAATATATTTAAAAATTATTTAAACATATCTTCCACTTGTAATAATTACAGGCCAATAATTGTATAATCAACAAAATACTAATGCAATTAAAAGTTGTTTTCTTTTCAAACTGTTCTTCCTGATGGACACAATTAGCTCAATGAATGAGATAACATGACTCTTAACTAAAAATCAAGCCAATAATGGATGTAGCAAATTAAATATTCTGTTCTTATATTCTTACTTACAGAGATTACAGTGTATTGTTTCATCAGTTGGGTATCCTCCTTGCAAGCAATACTTTTGGCTTTAATCTCTATAATATTTCATGAGTTATAGCCAGCTTAGTAGATTTAGGTCAGCTCTAAATGCATATACTAAGCTAATAGTGAAAGACAATCTCACGAATACAAAATAAAAAATAGATACAACAAACATTCTAGATAATATTATTAATGAAAGTGATATAAAAAAAAGGACAAAAACACTAATTGTTATGTTGTAAACTGAGATATTTGTCAATTTTTAAAATAAAATTATCTGAATAATACCACTAACCCACTAATTTTTAAAACTATTAAAACACAAGGCTACACTACAAGAGAAATTCCAAAGGGTATTCAAATAAGCAAGGGATTAATACTCAATCATGTTTATTTACATACATAACCACTGTTTCTTCTTAGCACATGCAGATACAGCTAGAATTACAATGAGACTATGAACTAGCACATAGACGTGTTCCAGTCATTAAGACCAGTCATGAAATTAAAGTGTTATTGCTACAGAAGGTTTCAATTATAAAATGTCTATATTCTTCACATCACATTGAAACACATGACATACAAAGATTACAGAGGATATTTTATAATCCAGTTTAAAATCTGGTTAAAGAAGAGCTTCTGAATACATGTGGCCATTACTTAAATATTCTTATTGAGACTGTAGATGTACAAATTAACAATGAAAAAGTTGTGTTTTGTAAAGTTGGTTTTAAACAGTCACAGACAGCATTGGAAGAGAAAGATTATGAAAAAAAACTGCTGATTAAATAATCAACTGAAAATTTAATGCAGCTAAAAAGAATCACAACATAGTGATTGAAGACATACACATACATGGATAGAACATAAACAGTATTTTTTTGTTTCATTACCTTTATTTTATTGTTACATGTGCCAACAAAGTGCTCTTGTACTGTATCATTCCTAAATGACTTCACTGAAGCCATAAAATGCTCAAGTTTAAAAGCTCTACATATATGGAAATTTCCAACAACAATAGACATCCATATAAGGCCTTGGGACAGCTTCTCCAGGACTAAATTTACGGAATGGTTTGAAATATCAGTCAAGAGGTTTGCATTTAGTATAAAATGTGTTAATTCAAAATTCACAGATATTTATCCCACCACTGACAAAAAAACTTTTAGACAACAAAATCCTATGGTAATTAACAACTTTATTTTTCAAATTGTTTTGCCTGATGGACAAAATTAGCTCAATATTAGGTAGAAGTTTATAAACAAACAATTAGAAAACCAAAGATTGAGAATGATTATGAAACTGTTTAAGTAAAAATGTAAATTAAGATAAGAATTATTTTTTAATACTTGGATTTAAAGTTAAAAATGAAAGCAAGACATAAGACAATACTTATATCCTGCCAAGACAATACTGAACTTGCGACTTGGGTGTTTGATGAAATGAATAGGTCAGCCATAATGGGACAAGAATAATTTGAAAAGGTACTGTTAAGTATTTCTAGAAACTTGGATTTTTTAACAATGGTTAGAATGCCATATCATAATATAACTGACCAAGAATTCAAAAAATGCATGTACTAAAAGTTTAAAAAGGTACAGCTAACACCGTTTGAGAATGCTTTTCACACTCACTAGTTTGTCAATATTTTTTTCTTTTGAGGTTATGGTGTTGTTGGATGAAGCTAATCTAATGGATGGTATTCACGTGATACTTCACATGATTCTCATTAAGGCCCCAGTTTCATATTTATAAAGGTTGACTAGTAAACTGGAATACTATGACAAAGGTGATAATGTACAAATATAGATAAAAATTATCTTGAGGTTGTCACATATATCCTGAATGAAAGTATGTAACATGTAAGTTCTACAGTGACATGTTTAAGGAAATATGTTGCTTATTAATTATATTACAAATACTGATTCTAGTGTGATTCCAAAAATATCCAAGTTTGGTATAAATGCAAAGGTGCTGAATAAAGCTGTCACTGAGGAGACTTTCTCTGCAATTCGTTTTTTTTGTTTTGTTTTTTTTTTGGGGGGGGGGGTATTAGTGTAAGATGTGTAATGATAAGGAAAGGGATTATTGCTTTAACCTTCAGTTCTGGTACCTCAATTATTAGAGCACTAGCCTCAGAGAACTGATAAGTGCTAATGGTACTGGATTCAAACCTTGATTTAGAAAGACTTCTTAACATTCTGGTAATTACAGTTGGCACATTTGAGAACAGATTTACATGCTGTTTAGCTGGTATCTGGGTGTTTATGAATTATCTAAAATTTATCTGTAATCAAAAATAGAAGTTTCAATCAAGCCTGGGCCAAGTGAGTGGCTGATAAAGGGTAAAGTCTAGCTGAAGAAATTTTGAGTTTAAAAAGAATTAATACAGATGATTAGTACCTTAAAACAAGCCTTTATTAGATCATATACAGATGCTATATCCAGCTATATCATTTTCTGGAAGGGCATTAACATACTGGAGTTTGAGTTGAATACTAGGTGACAATCCCAGGGGTTGCACCAACAGGTGCTGACCCCTCATGTGGAGACCAGCTACCTCACAGGAGGTAGAAAAAAGTTCCTTTAATTATGTTATGAATGGCCTTCTGGCTATTGATTCTCTGTCTTTTGCTTTTCCTAGCTACACCATTCATTACTTTTCTTTCCAGCAGGCTCATCCTTTATGAATGACAATTTGGAGCTTGCATGGTTGTTACCTTCCTATTACTAATGTAGAGGAGGTCAATATTCTGCAGAAGAGTTGTCAGCTTCCTTGTTTAGTTTTACTCCCTTCATGGCCTGGCACATACATCCAGGTAATGGTCTCACCATGGAATTAGTTTGTTTCATACCATCCATTTGGAAATATTATATTGGTTTTACTGTCTATATGTGGATTACTTCTTTCAGTAATCCAGAGAGAAGTGTACTTTATGGCTTCCAGCTCCATTATTGTATTGCTTGTGGAAGACTTAAATGCTCCACCAACCCTATGCAGAATGTTGTTGCTCCATAAGATGATGAAATGCTCAACCAGTTCTCTCACTGTCTTTGATGTAGAAACCATCTGTGACTATGATGACAAGTGACTGTCCACCATGGTTTTTAAGATACTGTAAATGGCAGGAACCAGCTAGGCTAACTAATAATATTAGTTTTCTACACAAACCATAGCTAACTCAAGAAATGAAGATATGACAATCAAATTTCCTCAATAAAAATACATTAATAAATTATTAATATATTTCACACAAAAGAACACTACATAATAAAATGATAAGGACTGTGAAATGGACACGCACTGACACTCACTGAAACTAATTACCCAACTGCCATTACATACCATACGGGCTAGAAATGCAAGTCTAAGCAGCAGCCCATCTAACACATCACAATACCAAGTCTCTGCAAGACAAGGCTGTCAGATAAGTGTTTGATTTAAAAATTACTTAAAACCAGTTTAGAATTTATTACAAGACAAATAATGCAGTAAGCAATGTATTACACAATCTAATTAATATAATGTGGTGAATACCATACTGAAATATATATTAGATGACTGGATAATGTCAACAATGTCCAGTGCATGTAAAACTAGATCTTGAAATAGCACTGCTTGTTTTAAGTTATCTGAACTAATGAAGATACACTGAGCATTTAGACTAATTCCCACTGAAAAACAACAAACACAAAATATGATAAGAGATTCAAAATGGTTAAGAGTTTGGCCAGGTTGGATACTGGAAATCTCTGAATTTTGGATTAATAATGTTTAAAAGGGAAACTTGAATATTATATGAGAATTTCTTCTTAGACAAGATTACTACCCTTTTGAGTTTGGAACTTTCTTTTTCTAGGTGAACTGGTGTGTACCCCAAGTGTTTTTAAACCATTTTTTATATGATAGTGGTTTCATTAATTCTAAAGAAGTGGTGAGTTTGATGTGAGAAGTTTTTCTGGAAAGTTGTTTAGTTACTTCAATAAGTTGATCAATTTACCTTCTAGCAACTTCATAACATCTGAGCTTCTGTTTGAGTTTAAAACCACATTTTTGCTAACAACTGCAGAGAATATCAACTAAATCATAAATTTTCATGTTGGTGGTGAATACAAAAACCATCATTTCCAATTTATCATCTCTAAAGTTGTGTGTGTGTATATATATATGTATATATATATATCACTGGTTTAAAATGGTGCATATTTTAAATAGTTTTTACATTCCTTATACTTTTGCTCCTAATAACTGTGTTCTATAATATCCCAAACTATATTATCATATATTAATAGTTTAATACAGTATGAATGCCTTTAAAACTGTACAAGTTTTGTTCCTTTCTTCTTACCTGTAACTTTTCTAGGACTTGCTCATGTTGCTGTTGAAGCTCGATGGCTTCCTCCAGAGTAGAACCCACCTCTGTCATAGATGGGTAAATTTCTTGAATCTTTAGCTGCATCCATTCCTTGCTCTGAAAATTAATATAGTTTTCATGTCAATACAATCAGGTTTCAAGTTATGTTCTTAATGTTTTCCTGAAATAACAAGTAATTATTTATTAAAAATAATAAGTTAAAGAACGAGAATAATTTTACCTTGATTTACACGCCGTAAGAGACACAAGGGACATATATGATATAGTCCATTACAGCTGTTTTGCAAACCCACCATTAAGAAATTTAAAAATCAAACCAATTCTATATTTTTTCAGGAATTCATCGATTTCCTTCTTAAATCCATATTTCAATGCATTTCGTTCAACTGTCACAGCCCTTTAACTGTGCGTACAATACCGATATTAAGTACAGAACATTAATTTTTGATTAAGATAGACAAAATTTATTATTCCCAAAAAAGAGTCAGTTTCCTGTGTTTCGAATAAATTTATTTACAACCATTGCTTGATTAAAACTTCATATATTTAAACTGATAATTTTAGACACATAAAAATTGTACGTTTCATAACTGTATTATCTTCAAAAAGTCAAAAATATGTAACTTTATGGATAATGAATCAATAAATTCCTCGAAACTTCCTTTCAAATTTTTAAATGATAAAAAAACTAGGCCTCGTTACCACTTAATCTTGTCGTGTAAACAGTGATACCAAGGGCATACAATTAGGACTAGTGTAAAAGATTACGAGTTAATATAAACTAGATGGATAATATAAGCTAAAATCTGTAAACTTCAAAGCAAAAAGTAATTAAATAACTTTCTCTTGATGTTCAGGGCCATTTTCAATAACCCTGCAACCGCAGATATTCCATGCTGTCTCGAGATAATTGGAACGTTGGGTTTAACCACATATGCATATCCAAAGTTTTAAGTAATTTTGTTTCAGTTAAAACATGCGGTTTATTTTAATATGAAATATCTACATTAGTATCATATTTAATTTATTGTATTCATTCAATACAACAAAAAGTAATCATCAATCTAATTTTACTCTGCTGCCAAAGAACATTTTAATAACGAATTTGTTAACTTTAAAACGTCTGTCTCATATATAAGATACGTCATAATTGTTTTATTTAACATGTTTTGCATAAGCACCAAATACAACTATACAGTATATATTAAAAGCTTGCTACAACTACTGTAGGCACACCCAGTGGTTCAACAGTAAGCTTGAGGGCTTACACGTTAAAAATCGGGCTTCGATACCTGTGATGGACACAGCGCAGGTTGTGTAGCTTTGCGCTTAAACACAAAACAAACAAACAGAGAAACTATTGGAGATCATATTATTGCAGGCGTGAGTCAATTACGTCACAAATGAGACAAGTGGTAGCGAGTTTGAGAGCAATAGCAAAAGAACACGTACAAGCGTTCAATGGTGAGAAAACTGTTATAAGTAATGATATATTATTGCAAGAGATAAAGCGTGCACAGAAAAGAAAGTGATAAATGAGAATTAACAAAGTAAAGAACTCAATCCGAGAAAATAACTTTGTGAGAAGGAATAAAACACATATTAAATTAATTAACAATTATTTAAGTTAATATGTATTTACAAATTGGGCGAATGACTAAAAATATATGTCTGGTGAGGTGAAATAAAAGGCCAATCCAAAATTGCAAAAAGAAAAAAGACGCACTTAATAAATTTTCCATTCTTAGCACATTGGCACAATTCTGCATTAATTCTAGTTGTGTGCGAATTTATTTCTTGTTTGTCCACATACTCCTCCCACAGTTTTGGAGTTGGCAGGAGGACATACGATAGCCCGTTGTGGTGTCCTTATATGGCATAGCCCCCTACGAAGGGAGTCTAAACTGTGTCCAGAAGGTCACCCAGGCATTTTAAAGGTTAATAAACCCGAATCTATCATCAGATTTTATGTTTCTGGTTTCTCTTGGAATTCCAGGGGCACTATGTTTGAAATTGTGCTCACACTCCCATTCACAAACTAGTGGGACCGAACTTGGCAAACGTGCTCAGGTGCCACAGAGTGACATTCTGTAGAAGATTTTTAAGTACAAACTCCCATTTGGGGTAGCTGTAGCCCCCATACACAGGGGGTGTAAAGGGAGCTAAAATGTATCTAAAAGGACACCAAGGCTTGATGGGGTCTAGGAATAGGTTTTCAGGGTCGCTGAGTTTGAATCTAGCAACAGATTTTGTGTTCACGGCTCTTTAGGGATCTTGTGGATACTATGTTTGAAACTTTCATAGCCCCATTTACAACAAGTAGGACCAAACATGGCATATATTCACTGCAGTAGAATGCGGGTATTTTATGCTAACCAAAAAAAAAAAGTAACACTAAGTACAGAGAAAAGAACATTAAAGTAGCAGAAGAGGATTTTACACATTTTACAAATACAATTAATAAAGATAATAGCAAAAAACCTGAATCTGAACTTCAAAGGATATTTTTTCGTAGCCACAAAATTCAAACCACTAGACAAGAGTTACATTAATAAATCATGGACCTATACAAAGTTAAATACGTTACTTTTTCACTTAACAAAAAACAGTCTGGACTATCAGAGGACAGCTATTTTTGGAAAAATAAATTTATACAAGATGTAACATGTCTTTGGTTGGTGCATTTTTAACGACAAGAAAGTACAGTTAACTGATGAAGGTTGGAAACAAATTTTTTCGTAGGTGGTACAGTTCAAACTTTAATCAAAATTGAATGAAACGTGTAACAAGCATATTTAATAGAATAATGTCAGTAGTTATGCATTTAGTAGAAAGAAACAAAACGTTTCGAAGAATTGTTGATAAGTTAAATCACTCTGGGAGTGCATTTTTTTTCTGCTCGAGTGGAATTGATGACAAGGTTTGATGATTCATAGAATAATAAACAAAGAAGAACGTCTTTATTATTTGAGCCCTGAAGTCCGGAATGAACTAATACGGATGATCCCATAAGAAGCTATTAGTGCAATTGTTCTAACAATTAAACATGTAAAAAAACTATTCTATAAGGATGGACTTTAATCCTGACATAAGTAATCAAGAGAAGCGGTCTGTGGTTTTAAGAATGGTGAATATCCAAGTAATGGGGGTAAATGCTGGGGAAATTTAAATTCCTTTATTAATGTTAAGGAGACAAAAGACTGCTCTATCAGAGGTCATTCTTGAAAAGCTTACAGAACATGAATATCATTCAAAGTTTGCCAGAATCAAGGTATGATAAGAATAAAAATACCAGAGACCAACAAAACTGTGTGAAAATTATATTTGTTTGTTTCTTTGTTTTTGAATTTCGCGCAAAGCTACACGAGGGCTATCTGCGCTAGCCGGCCCTAATTTAGACTAGAGGGAGGGCAGTTAGTCATCACCACCCACCGCCAACCCTTGGGCTATTCTTTTACCAACGAATAGTGGGATTGATCGTCATATTATAACGGTCCCACGGCTGAAAGGGCGAGCATGTTTGGTGGGACGGGGAATCGAACGTAGGGCCCTCAGACTGCGAGTCAAGCGCCCTAACCAACGGGCCATGCCGGGCCTGAAAATTATATAAAAAGGCATTTTTTGTATCTTTGAACCCTGTACTATTTGATACGTTAAATCATTGCTGCTGGTGCAAAATTTTTATTAGCTTTCTTCAAAGAATGTATAATATTTTTGAGCATCAACTAGCAGATGGACTATTTTGAAGTCCTTTTCAAATACCACTCTTACATCTCTCTCCAACACTAGATGAAAGTGTAAAATTTAAGACTTTACAAGCAGTAAGGCATCCAAATAGAAAGTATATTGCCAGAATTAATAAAACTGGTGGAAACTACATCGGATAGTGTAGCCTGTCTAAAACTCAATCTTTAGCAGATGAGCTAGCATCATACAGATTTATAATTTGTTTAGTAACTTGGTATGATTTGCATGTACAAATAATTCTAGACAGCGAGCAAATGCTAGTAATTTAGATAATGGGATATGGAATAACCTTTTCCGTTATAGGGAAATTGTCTAGTATGTGCCATGACAAACAAGCCTTAAAGTGCTGTCAGAATTATCAGCCGAGAAAAGTTCCTTGCTAGTTATGAATCTGAGGATGAATCAATCATTGCTGAACAACAACCGTCCATAATTGATTTTTTAAGGTTGTAGTGGAGTGTGATATAATGTAATTGGGAAATAGGTTTGAGTCGTTCTATGATTACATGTCAAGTTTTGGATTTTTGTATGGCCTTAAAGATATCCAAAATGCAGAAAATAATTAACTAGTAAATTCGTGAGTGGACTTATCTGTAGCAATATCTAGCGTCCATGAAGCTAAGTCAGATGAGCAGAGCCTAGATTTGTTTGTTCGTTTTTAATTAAGCACAAAGCTACACAAAGAGCTATCTGTGCTCTGCCCACCACGAGTATCGAAACCCGGTTTCTAGCGTTGTAAGTCCACAGACATACTGTTGTGCCACTGTGGGACCACTAGAGTAGTAGGGGTCACTTTATAGAGTGCGTATCACACTGTTATTCATAGAAAGCTATTTTACGCATACGTACAAAGGTTTAGTATACTACATCAAAATGATTTTTAAGTATCACCATATCGTTACAGCCCACATTGCGACATCAGTCATGCTCTATCCGACGGCCGTGCATATTGACAATAGTCCTGCGGTATAGGTTCCATCGTAAGGTTATCATGTTAAAAGCACACCACTGCTCCCTGCCTACTTTAAATATGTTATCTAGTGCACAAAGATGATGGTTTTCTAGCACTTAGTCCAACAGTCCAATCACACAGAAGTCTTAGTATGGAATAGAATGAACCCATGAAACCCGTTTTATTATGTAGCTCTTTGAGGTTGCGACTGTTGGACAATATTTCGTGGGAACAGCTTATGTGTACGTGTCTTGTTGCTTTTCCAGATGAAGATCCTTCCTGATTATGTTGTGTGCTGTTTCTTAGGGGACATGGACGGCTTTTGCCACAGACCTTTGTGTTCGTGGATTATTACCTGTTTCAAGATGCTGCACTTTGCTTACCACGGCTGGTGTAC